TCAGTTGGAAGAGCATTGGGCTAGTATTCCAAAGGTCGTAGGTTCGAATCCCACCGTGGCCGGGCATATTTTTCAAGCTCACCCGGTGTGGATACACACTCAGAGTAACATCACAAATATCATGTTCACCTGAGTACACAACACCAACACAGAAAAAACCCAAATGGATTGATGTTTCTTTTTGATGCGTATCTAACTAACCAGGCATGAGATTGTCCACTGAATACTCTTGTTTCATCTTGGCCATAACAATGATATTGACATATTGCTGCAAGAAGAGCAGTAGTAGATTTGCCTTTGGTTATGTCCCCAACAAGAACTGGAACTGGGAATTGATTCCAGCAGGACAGGACAGAGTGATAATTGTCACACATGCTGGCAGCCAAGGCAAAAAACCCAGAAATGAAACTATTAGTCTTTTTTCTACTATAGTGTTGGAGTGAGATGGACGTGTATTCAAGTGCTCTGACTAATAACATGACTAAGGTTGAATATCTAACCATTGATACTTTAAAACTAATATAATATAACTATTTCCTACCCAGTATTAAGAATGAATTTCAATCTCAACTTGAAAGCATTAGAAGGGAGATTAAAATGCTTAGTATGAAGTGCATTGATATTGAAAAATCACAAAACTTCATGTCGAGGGAATTTGAGAATTTCAAAGAGTCGCTTTAGACGACAAAGAAACATGTTACCGAAAAAAACATGTTACCGAAGCTGTTCAATCTGTGCTACTAACAGACAGCTTGCAGCAATATCAGTGATGTGACTGTATTGAAATTACCGGAGTCCCAAGTACGCCTGATGAGGATCCTAAGAGAATCACAGTTGAAGTAGGTCAATTAATGCAAATCGATGTGAGTGAATCTCATATTTCTATTGCTCATATACTACCTGCTACTAGAAAAGTACCGAATCATATTATAGCAAAGTTTGTACACCGCGATAAGAAGGATGAATTCTTTAAACGAAGAAGTCAATTAAGAGGGAAGTCATCGAAGGACATTGCTAGTATTATCAATCAATTCCCGGGGCAAGCACAATTTATATTAAGGAGTCGCTGACACCTTATCGTAGAAAGTTGTTTGGAAAAATAAACGAGTTTAGAGCATAATATGGACCTTACACAATCTGTTACCTAATCCCGATAAAGCTGATGAGATGGATTCTGACCTTATGTTGACTAATATTACTTCCAAGTACTATACTATAGATAAGATAAATAAAGGATATTGATAAATCCCATTCAAAAGCAGTTTCTTTATTTCACTGTAATATAAGAAGTCTACCTAAAAACTTAACTCTGCTCAATGATGTGATTTATACTCTATCATCAAAACCTGATGTTATCGCTATTACAGAAACCAAATTGAATGTGAACACCATACATAATATTGATATTCCAGCTTCCAACTTCTATCATGTAGATTCAGCAACTGCAGCAGGCAGAGCTGGTATTTATGTAAATTGCATGTTAAAATCCATAAATAGACCTGATATTAAAATTTCATCTGAACTTGTGGAATCCTGTTGGATTGAAATTCAGGCTAAAAACAATATGGGTAAGAATACAATTATAGGCTGTATTTACAGACACCCAAAAAGTAATGTAGATCATTTTACGGATGAACTTGAAAAACTATTACATTATATTTTAATCAATGTAAATATCAAGTAATCTTAACTGGTGATTTTAATATTGATTTTTTTCAATATGTGGCTCACCAACCTACTGAAAAATACTTGGACATGCTGTACGCTAACAATTTTATTCCACTCATCACCAAGCCTACAAGAATAACGGATCATTCTTAAACATTGATTGACCATATTTATACTCGCATGCCTCTTAGTGAAGTCTTATCTGGTATAGCTGTTTGTGACATATCTGATCATTTGCCTGTGTTTTGTGTTATGAATGTGCATTGTCAAAAAATCAACAATAAACGACATTATAGAGATTATAAACAATTTAACAAAGAAGCTTATTAGTAAGTATGTGTAAGCCAATAGTGTAAGCCAAATGTCTATCCATATGGCAGTGAGGAACCCTTACCTGTTTTGGGAAAATTTACAGCAAATGTCACTGTGGGAACCAGTTTGAATAATGTCAAATTTATAGTGATTGAGGGCTCGGGACAAGCCTTGCTGGAGAGATTGGGTGAAGATGAAGGTGGGAGAGTTAGGTCATGTAGAACAAAGAGACTACCAGATAAATTGAAGGATTATGTTGTCGATTGTAGAGAAGTATTTAGATAATTATTTGCTTAGCTTACTAACATTCAAACATTAATATTTAATTAGAAACTTTACTATAATCTTTAGTTAAAGTGACATTTATTAGGAATTAACTGTCTAAGAAAGGAGGGATGTACTATTTGCATAATTATGTTAGGATAAATGTGCATGCATAGCTAGGATGCTCTTCTTGTAATTAATGGTGATTGAGTCTGATATCAATATAGATATTTATTTTCTTTTTAATCTGTGGGAATCCTTTGGTTGTTTAAGACATCTAGTCTACAGCAAGTTTTGCTCGGGAGTATGAAGGCTCTCATGACAGCTCAAATATAAAATGTTCTGGTAGATTCTCGCATGTTTAAATATTTCTTTATTGTTTCAATCATTGTCAAAATTATTCCCTGGACGGGTTAATGTTGATGGCTGTTCATCATTTTGCTATGTAAACGGTATACAAAGTATTTTATGTGTATTATTGTAAAGCTGGACAATTCATACTCCCGAGCAAAACTCGCAACTAAATTGTGCCAGAAAAAAATAACTATGCTACTAGTTTTGGCAAATAAAAAGTCACTTATCTATTCTTCAAAATATTCATAAAACAGACGAAAATAGTCCACTTATATTCCAAAAGGAGAAGTTTTAATAATCATAGTGCGGTTTTCATCATATTGTTTATAGTAAAATTCTCTCACTATACTACCTAAGAACATGGCCGCTGCTCCCTTGTGGGTGTATGCAGGTATATGTCAGCGCGACCGCCTAACATCAAAGGAGTGCTCCTTTTGGTTCGTTTCTTTATTCTGTGACTGTGATCAGGCCTACAAATAAATAAATAGGCTTGATACAAACCCTAACAAAAGTCCATGATTGGTTATTTGGTCTATGAAAGAAAACATTCTTTAATCTGTCATTTGATTAGTTGGTGCTAATTAGATTATACTATGACCAGTTGTTGATATATTTTGTGATTACAACTATAATTAGATTGTTGTTGTCATTGTGTGAAATTTAAATTTCTCCTGAATCCTGAACATTTTGATTGGATACTAAATTAACTAACTATACTAATAATGGATATTTTCATAACAGATGACCAGACTTTGATAGATCATATTTATACAAATTTACCAGAGGCACAAATCAAGTCACACATATTGGAAACATTTCTCTGATCATAACACAGTATGTGCATTGATTAATTGCAAAGTTTTATTAAAACTCTTTCTCGACACGAGTCTATTATCGCATTGCTTTGAAGCAATGTGCTTTGACATCATATCTTCGGTTCATTGAATGCTATGAGGACAAAAATACCACCATTCGATTCAGTGTAACTAGATCTCCTCATTCGCAGTAGTTTTAGTCAAAGGCAACATTATAGCGATTTATGAGCTTTGAAAGCAAAGCGAGATCGTATGTGATCAAATTACGCATTTTACCAACAAATTATAAAAACATAAACATACCTTTCGCTGAATATAACTTCGGCTCCTTGAGATGTATACACATTGCGATATTCTTCATGAATTAAGCATTTAAAATAACATGTATAGTGTTATTGTCAAGGTTCTATCTTTAAAATGTGACTTTTAGTGCTAAATTGTACATTTCTGCTCCAAATTTGCAATAATCCCAACCGGAAATATGAAAATTGTCGAAAAATCGCTTGTATCGTGTGACTCTGGAAATTCCAGAAATGGATTGTACAGGTCAAAGTGCACCTATACGCATGAGTTTGACGTCATCCTGGCTAAAGCAGCTCCTTTATTGGCCAAGTATTGTGCAATACACATGCGTGTGAGTAAAACCCGATACCTTGAAAAATTCAAAATAAATATTTCTACTTGCCGTATTCATACAAAACTTTCTACATGAAAATACAAAGAGTATTTTACACATATATAGCCTTTCAGAAAATGACGAAACTTTTCTCGTTTGAATGCTTGGCAAAGCGGTGAGTATAAATATACGATAGTTTCGGTTTGTGTAATGTTTTGACGGCACTTGACCCCCCATTCGAAAGGTTATTTTTGTGAGGATTACAATGGTGGGTTTTGTTTTAAAGGGGAGTAAATACTCGCTGCAATATTTACATTAGAAGAATTGAATCGTAATGTAATACAAAACCGACCTGTCAAGAAAGAGTTAAAGCAAAGTAATAGTGGCTGCATAAAGAGCACATTGGAATATTATTACTTACATGAATGAGACTAATTGGAATATCAATAGAATTCAGATTGGAATATCAATTTGATTGGATATACTAAATTAACTAACTATACTAATAATGGATATTTTCATAACAGATAACCAGACTTTGATAGATCATATTTATACAAATTTACCAGAGGCACAAATCAAGTCACATATTGGAAACATTTCTCTGATCATAACACAGTATGTGCATTGATTAATTGCAAAGTTTTATTAAAGCAAAGTGATAGTGGCTGCATAAAGAGCACATTGGAATATTAGGGACCTTTAGCATGTCGTTAAATGACAACGGCAATACGAAGCGGAAGTAAAACCTAGCTTCCGGTAATGATGTGCGCATGCATGGAATTTGGAATCTGCTGTCGCCTTGCACGCGCCGACGTGAAATTGCTTATTTTGGCGTTGTTGGAAAATGTGAGTATATATTTTCATTTTTCTGCTCAAATTTTAACTCTGAATGGAGTAAAGTCGTACATATATTACATAATACCTTTCGTGAAGTTTATGAAATGTTATTTTGTCCAAGCTATGTGATTTTGTTTTGTATTTGTTAGTTTAAACATGGCTGTCAATCCGAAGAAGAAAAGCAGTAAGTACAATAATTCATATTTATGAATAGAACAAGAATGCACCACGAAATATGAAAATCGTGGCATTAAAGCGAATGTGTGTGGTTTTTACAACACTCTTCTCATATTTAGGAAGAGTTTACTGCTGAGATAGGTTGGCGATAAATTTGTGTATAAATGCAAATTGTCATAAAATTCTGATTTTCATATTTAGCGAAAATAGCCATGGCAACTGGTCATAATTTTCGCTGATTGAGATGACTACATTTAAATATCATTAGAAGATAGCATACTGGGGGTAACTTTGCTACTGCTGATTAAAGTGGCTTGCTAACTAACTAAATGGTCTTTTGGATAATCTAGTGCAGCTTGCTGTACACCCTGCCTTGTTTACATCTTAATACAGGGAAAAATGGTTGGAAGTAAAAATGATACATGGTTTGCAAGATTTCATCTACGTTTGTTATCCATAAAACCTTTAGAGTATCGCATGGATAGATTCCAGGTAAGATGCAAACAAGGGATGCAGGGCAGAAGGTATTAAATTTTTGTCAAGGTATAAAATATTTGTTCACATCAATCAGGCCATGGACATATCTGTTTCTTAAAATTGCAGCACTCAGATGGAGTGGACAAAAGAACATGACATCTTTCTGCTGAGAGACATGCTAGCTTCTGATATATTTCACTACAGAAAAGCAGACAGGCTTAATGCAACAAAAGATATGGCCTTTCATATAAATGAAAAGAGATCTGTTCAAGATAGATAGAATCTACTTAAGAACAAATTAAAAAATAGACGTGAAGAAGCTGCAAGTGGTATTGAGGTGGACGAGCAAGATGAAAAAGATATATTGATAGAGGAATAAAAAGCTCACATTAGAGCATCTTGTATGAATCTTGGTATAGTTCATGGTAGTGGTTTTGGTTTTTCTTGTGCCACGTTGTGGTGACATTTGCCATTTCAGTTTATTGAAAGTACTCTTCTAGTGTTGGTGGGTCAAGTCGATCAAAGTACTCAGAGGTTTGATTACCATAAAGACAGGTGATTGCATTCCTAAGCAAGGCACATAGTACATACATTTTACCCACACTGCTTAAACTGATTTTTAGATTCTTTTTATAATCTGTAAACTTGAAAGAATTTGCAATATCTCCAAATAGCCACTCAACTGCAATTCTTACTTGACTCATTGACCGGTTAAATTCGTGCATGAGTGGTCTAAGTTGTGCTTTCGGAAATGGGGTTTGAAGGTGAACACGAAGAGGATAGACCAAGTCGCCATATATACACAAGGGCTGCCCTTTTGGTGAGTAAGCATGGTTTTCTAAATCTTGTAGGAGTCCAGACTCTGCCAGGATCCCTGCATCATGTCTTCGACCTTCTGTAAACAAGGGATTTACAGTATGTTTGAGTTTTACAACTTAAACGTTTGTTATTGTCAATTGCTTAAGCTAGACAAGTGATGGAGGGGGGAGTGGTCTGCAGCCTCCTATTTCCAGTTGGACAGGCAGATCTCAAGTTGCTGCAACCCCCTCCCCCCCAGCAGAAATGACAGAATTTTATATCCTCCTCCCCCCCCTTCCATGTTTTCCTCCCATAGGGGGTTCTTAAAAAACAGCACAAGTGCATGTTTAAAGTCATGGAACCAAAAATGAAAAACAAACTTGTAAAATTCAATAAATCTTATTTAAAAAAATGTGGGTTGGAGGTGGGGGACTAATCAAGAGGGGCGGGACTAATCAAGAGGGGCGCTTAATAAATTTACGTAAAAGGGGGCTTAATAGTGATTTATTTGAGGGAAGGGGGATTAATAAAGTGTTTACAAATATGTGGCTTGAATTAAAATTCAAGGCAAGGGAAAAGTAAACTTACCAGTTGATCCAAAAAGGTGTCCAATTAAACCATTAGGTAAGGCAACTGACTGGAATTTCAGTGCATGAACTCTTTTATGCCCATTGTATACCAATCGTTGGTTTTCTCCGGGTCAGCAAATTGGATGGACTGTTGCGTCCATTATCGAGTGGGGTGCCTTTTATTGCTATGGCGTCTGCGTAACTTTGCATGGCAACAGGATTTAAAATGGTTTTGTTCCACTCCGAGATAAGATATCCATGGGTATAAAAAATATAATCGATGACATGGTTTGTAAGAAAGCTGATAACTGAACCTGGCCTGCCACCAAACCAAGGTATGATGTCACTGTATCGGCAAGGGTAACACACACATCTCAAAAGCATGCATAAGCCTTCCATACCGTTGCAAATACTCCTCTGTTCCAATTTGAAATTCGCTGGTATCCTGAGAGCCTCTCGAAGACGAGGTAAATCCTGCTTTAACACACGAAACTCGGCCTTGCATTCTGCCTCTTCTACATCATCTAGCAAAAATCAGGATTTTTCTACATAAAATATTCGTACAGGAAGCAAAATTCCGTATCAGAAATGAATTTGCTATCGTATGAAAGTACAAGCAATTCTCTAAAATCTCTATGATGTTTTGCAATCGTCCACAATTTTTTGTTTGCTAAAGTATTCGAAATTTGGCAGGAACGAGCAAGGACAGCGTTGTCAGATCCAGGCCCTTCGCGGTCACCTCCGTCACCGTCGCATGGAAAAAGTGGCATGCTAAAGGTCCCTATTACTACTTACACAAAGGAGACTAATTGGAATATCATTAGAATTCAGATTGGAATGTCAATACTTATAATTAAACTTGCAACCAGACATGATTATTAACTTGCATACTTGTATAACTATATATCAGGGAGGGGTGCTCCCTTCTTTATCCACCCTGATTTCTACAACAGAATGTCATTGCCAAGAACACCAGGTAAGTTAGAGTTATAAACCGAGAAGGAGGTTTATAACTGATGTATTCCCCCGAGGATGCGCAGTGTCCGAGGGCAATATATCAATTATAAACCGACTTTCGAGGTTTATAACTAACTTATTTATCATTTGTGGAGGTTTTCTAACATATTTTGTCATTTTCAAAAATTTTTGAAAAATTCTCGCGTTTTGTCGAAAAGTTTGATGTAATTATTTATTCAAGGTATATTAGCTAGTTATAAACCTCGGACGACCAAAGAAAACCGACACAAATGAGATATAAGCAATTTTATATCCCCCTTCCCCTACTGTACCTCACACTATATTGTTTTACAATGAACAACATATGGTATATCATGTCATGTCATGTCGGGATATTATTAATAGCACACAATGTACACAACTAAACCTGTAAATTCTGTTTTTCAGATTTTCTCCCAGATGACAGAATATTATTGCATGGATCTGGTATGCTGAATTATATCATCTTATTGAACAACTATATGCATTGATTATACTCCTAATTTTCATATACTTATCATTTGTTACTGATGAATGACCTAAATCGCAGGGCCGTAGGTTCAATTCCTACCAGAGGACCTTGTGCTGCATTTTTTGCAGTGGTTCCCGGTTAGGTCTTAAAATGTATATTAATCACTCAGATTACAAACCCTAACATTCTAATATTAATTCCACCAAGTGAAGTGCAAGAATCCAAATCTTTGAAGTCCTACAATATATTACCTATTCGATATATTTACTTGGCCATAAACAGTTCATTTGTGCTCCATCAACTATGACTATGACATTTCTAAAATAAAATAGATCAATTATAAACAGCAGAAATATTGATGTCATGTACCAAATATAGTATATAGGCTTTCAAAATTCTGCAACTGTATATTGGCAACACCTGGTATCCTGGACAGTGACAACATCTATGTATCTACAATGTTCGCACATGCCTGTTAAAGTTTATTATTATATATATTCAAACTTTACTCTCATTCGTTATTAGTCAAAACGCCCCTGCTATTCTGCTAATTCTCCATGTCTAGATGATCCGTTATTTCAGCTGCTAACAGTAAAAAGATAGCATTTAGGTGGTTTCCATCATTAAACAATGAAGAATTTTCAATGTTGCTCTCAGAAAAAGATAGCAAAAGCATGCAGAGAGCAAGAAAACGGTTCTAAGGTCTTTTCCAGGACTATCTATAGAAAATGCAAAAAAGAATATCCAACAAATGCTGTAAAGCTGACAGCAATTTTGAAGTTGTTCTATGCCGAAGCTAGAAAACAGAATGGCAAGTTGTACTTGAAGAGCTCACTCAGTGCTCTTAGATTAGGGCTGAATAAACATTCAGTCAAGGAACGTTTGGACAGTTTGTCTATTCCTATAACACAAACCTCATCCTTGATAATTCTTGATATCATGCTCAACCTCATTCATTAATTATTTATTATGAACTATGAAGAAGGTTGATGACATGCTTTAACAAGAAAAACTGAAATGATTTTTTTTCTCATAAAACTGAAATGATTCAACAACAACATCATAAAACTGAATATCACTTTTGTGAAGTTATTGGTCAGTTAAATAATATGTGTCTTATTATCAATATTCGGAACCACCTAGCTGAATGAATGAATCAAGTTATCACTGATCAGTTCATACATACGCTTTATATAGAAGACACAGTCACCCTTTGAGCGATGTTATTTAAACTCTTTCCTGACAAGTAGTTTTGCATTACATTACGATTCAATTTTTCTAAAATAAATATCTCGGCGAGTATTTACCCCCCTTTACAACAAAACCCACCATTGTAATACTCGCAAAATAACCTTTCGAACGGGGGGTCAAGTGCCGTCAAAACATTACACAAACCGAAACAATCATATATTATACTCACCGCTTCGCCAAACATTCAAAAGAGAAAAAGAGAAAGAGTTGAATATATTCTAAACTTTTCGTCATTTTCTGAAAGGCTATATGTGTAAAATACTCTTTGTATTCAAGCGCTTTCATGTAGAAAGTTTCGTATGTATACGCCGACTAGAAATATTTATTTCACGCTTGTATTACGTAATACTTGGCCAATAAGGAGCTCCCTTTAGCCAGGATGACGTCAAACTCACGCGTATGGGTGCACTTTGACCTGTAGAATCCATTTCTGGCATTTCCAGAGTCACGCGATACAAGCGTAGCATTGTTTTGACGGTTTTTCGTCGTATTTCCGGTTGGAATTAACGCAAATTCGGAGCAGAAATGCAAAATTCGGCACTAAAAGTCGCACTTTAAAGATAGAAGCTTGAAAATAACACTATAATGTTATTTTTAACTGCTTAATTCATCAAGACTATCAGAATAAGCGTACGTCTCAATGGGACGAAGTTATATTCGGCGAAAGGTATGTTTATATAAATTTGTCAGTAATATTGCATAATTTGATCATATACGAGCTCGTTTGACTTTCAAAGCTCATAAATCACTTTATTTTTCTCCTGGCTCGGTTTCCTTTGTTCTTATCGGGGAATATATTCAATATTCCCCTCTAATCAATTTCCGTTCAGTAATCCCCTCTAATATTCACCTGCAATTAATAATCCCCTCTAATATTCACCTGCAATGTCTTTGCAGCACAAAAAATGAGGAAAAAAAACAACATAACGAAGGCAATATGGCATTAAGAATTATTTCTATCCTGACTCATTAACGCGACCTCGCAGTGTGAAAAATAAGTACGTTATTTTGAGGCACCTCGGGGATATGTGTTTATTCACCTCGGCGCTGTGCGCCTCGGTGAATAAATCACATATCCCCTCCTTGCCTCAAAATAACCTATACATAATGTTGCCATTCACTAAATCGATCGATAGGAATGAGTAGCTATCGTTACACTGAATCGAATGGTGGCATTTTGGTCCACGTAGCATTTACCGAACTGAAGATATGAACCACGAAGTGAGTAAATCATGAGTGATTTACATTAATAGGAACCTGTCAAGAAAGAGTTAATGGCTTAAATTGTAAAAAAGTCTTTTATATGTTCTTGTCTCTCAATTGGGTTACCTTGATTTATCTTCTTGAAGCCCTAAGATGAGTGCTCTTGATCAATTGAGGCAGCCAAGACATTGAGGGGAGGAGCAGAAAGCAACAGCCCCCTGCCCCTCTTCACTCATTTCTGAGAACCTTTGAATGATATCTGAATAACTGCGTAAGATGTCCAATAATTTTTCAACCAGGTGGTAACCTAATTTCCCCCCCCCCCCCCCAAATCATTCACGAAGTGCCTGGGATTGAGCTTCACTATACTCTCAGGGCTCCAAATGGCATTTCTCTCATGCCTGGGGTTAGCCTAATATTTGTTTCATTGCCTAATTTTTCAATTTTTTTATTGTGCAATAAAGCAATTTTGCATCAATTGCATGTGGCCCTTTTTAATTTCCTGGTTAATGGTAAATAGTTGCTGCCAATATATATAAAAAAGATTAGTTCATCAGTTTTTAAAACTTCTTTTCACATTATACTAAGTCTTCCTAAAATAACATCTTATGTTATATACGTATATTAATATTTAGCTGTTTAGATATTTGTCATTTTGTGATTATATTAAGTGCATCACTCTCTGCATGCATATTAAGAAGATAAAGGATTCCAGTGATAGCAATTTATTATGTTTTGACTGATAAGTCCGTGAGAGTGAAACTGATAAGTCATAACCAAAATCCAATATCCATGCTCAAAACAAATTACACACTATTGTCAATACAGTACTTCATTTATTAGTGCTAAATAGTTACTAAGTGTACTTCGTTGTTTAATTATGTTTATTGTTTTTGAAGCCAAAATTTTACTTTTAGCTCTTTATTTCGGAGAGTCCCCAGGGTCGAACTGTCCTTGTCTGGATTGCTCCTTAAAATGGCTGGTAAATGTGTTTTACTCCATTCTTTTCTCAGATCTTCGAGTGGAAGGGAATGGAGTGGACTGAATTACCATAAATAAATGTTTCCTGAGTAACTCTGTCCCTTTTATTTTGGTCTTGATGCGTTTCATTAAATTTTCTACAAAATCTTTTTTCGGACACATCTTTAGCAAGTTTCCCAAATCGTTCTATATCTGATTGAGATCTGGACATAACAAGGCAAATTTTGATGATTTCAACCAAATCCGGTATACCTTCATGTAAGCCATGTTCCGTTTTTTGAAAGCAGCATAAAACATTAGAGGTATTCCATGTAATTTGATGTGCTTCGTTTTCAACAAACCAAAAATTCTTGAATCTCTCCTTGTTATCCCGGACTCTTTCTTTAAAAGCTATGTACTGGTCAAGAAATCATGAGCAATCTATCCCAGAACATACTTCACAGCAGCGGTGTCGTGGAAATGAAAGGTTACCTCTGTTTAGATGTTTAGCAAATGAAATAAATTCATTGTTATTTTGTTCACACAGACTTTCAGAGCTGTGGTAATCAAACGACTTGACATCAAACATCTTTATTACATTTTCTTCCTGTTCGCCCATCGCTAAAAATACTGGAGCTTCTCGTAATATTGCTGACGTTAATTGGTTCAATCTATCTTCAGTTGTTCTGATGATGTCATCTGGTGTCAACGGTTGTGGACGATGTCGTACTCGAGGTTGGAATTGAACATCATGTTGTAAAATGTTGACTTGCTGATCGGGTTTACTAAAATTTGGCGTAAAATTCCCTTCTTCGATACTTGGGTATTGTAAACACAGCCGTCTGTTCAAGGGATTTTCCAGAACAGGCATTTCATTAATTTTTGTTATGTTTTCAATAAATTTATCTACATTGGCTTTGTCATCCCATAATGGATACAGATCAGACTGTGCAGCTTCACTTGTGAATGCGGACCGACTAAATACGTCGGCGAGTAGAAGTAAGGTTGATAGAAAAAGCGGACTGACTAAATTCTTCAAGTGACCACAAATTTCGTTATCTCCCTCAGCAGCTTGTTCTTGCCAGAGTAGTTCCAATACATAAGCATATAAATCTTGTCTCCACCAGCCCCTTCATACTCTTTACCAGTGAATCAGAGAATCAGCATGCCTAAGATTTCTATGTTGCTTTGGTGATTGGCAAATTTTTGAGATCATACTATCCAGTTGAGATAAGATTTGATTGAGCCATCTCATTTCAGCTTCTTTGCAAATCTTCCCTATCAATGATTCGATCTTGTGCGCCCTGTCAGCAAAAAGAAGATGAGCACAATTGAATTTCTCTTTTCAAAGATGCTGAAGACCCTGAAGAATTCTACCTGTATACGTGGCTTCACAGTCTGAAGATGACGAAGATACAATTTGACCAATGGTTTCATTCGACATTTCTAATTGCTTATGGAGAAAGTCGTAAACATGACAGAATACACCTCTTGCATCACTGGTATGATCGGCCAAGGGAATATTTCCAAGACTGATTGTGTAATCTGGTACAGGATCTTCATGTCGAGAAATCACAATTTGATTTCCATTGGCACAGACCGGTTCTCCATTAAGATCCAAGATTCTGAGATTAACTACTTGACCTGTAATATGTTCCACTGTTACTTTGTTGAATGATAGATGGCAGTGCCGAAGACGGCCAGTTGAAGGGTTGGGTGAATGAATGAATTGCACCAAGGATCGCAACTGCACATTATATATACAATCGGAAGCACTGGCCATAGCCATATCAGTTAGGTGTCAGTTTCCCACATCCACTCCTTGAAGATGGTGCAGATATGTCATGGATACATGTTATATGGTACATGGCACTGTATTAGTCCATAACATCGCAAAAGGAACCTTTCTGTAACTTCCGCCTTTTTCTTTTGAGCAACTTGAGAGGAAAATAAGATAGCATTCCTTTTTCTTTGTTCTTCTGCTGACTTGCTGCTTTTATGACATTCTGACTGTTCATGATTTTTAACTCTTTGTGCACAATGATCGCTATCAAGCACAACAGAACAATCGAGCCAATTCTGCATGCTGGAGTAACCACAAACTGAACGTATTTGTAAAGAATGGCGCGGACGTAGACAACATGCACCTAACAGTGCATTTGGTGGTGACCGGAACTTTACTTGTAGCCAAGGATACGTTATTTGCAACTGAACCAATGACTGCATGCTGTTATCAATGAAGGTAGCCACATTGTTGGCCTTGTCTAAGCGCTGATCTATTTCAGAAAGTTTGCTCTCAAGAACTGCTTTTGCATCTACAGGAACAGTTTTCATGTCCCTCTCATTAATTTTGATTTTTTGAATGGCAGTGTGTAAAGATGCAACAGCTTCTTGCAGTGAGTGAATTTCTTGACTCGATGACGATGCTGTCGCTTGTGGTTGAAGTGGTTCTGTAACTGTAAGAGGGTCGGTAAATTGTTCATAAATGTCAGCAGTGACACTGGCTCTTGGGAATGCAGTGTTTCCTGTGAGTAGTAATAGATAATAGTATATAAAAAAAGAGGGGGCATGTGAAGCTATATTTTTTAACTCGAGCTTGTATGGGAAAATGAAAGTAAAATCGGCTCAGAGCACAACTCCGCTGACCATATGGACGGGGGGGGGGAGGGGGAAATCAAGGAGGCGTGTCCATGTTTTGCGGTGGCTGGGTGATTGATGTGCGCGAGTGCGCATGCATGAGGGAGCTCCGAACCCAAAGCCTTGGTTGACCGAAGTGAGAAGGGTTTAAATTTGGCGCCTATTTAAAAGGTAAGAATGACATAATCTATTAACGCGAGTAACTTATTAATCTATCAACTTAACGGGTATAAATACGCATGCGAGTAAGGGTTAATTTCAGTGAGAAATGGCTGAGAAAACAAGAGAAATGGCTGAGTGTCAGGAAAATTGCAGCTGCAATAAATGTAAGGAAAAAAGAGAAGAAAATTATTCGAAGGTGAAAGTTGTTTGCTGTTATATAATGAAAATGAAGATTGGTTTGATGATGAAGACGAAGAATTTACGTTTACAGACAATAACGAATGGTTTGAGCAAGCATGGCTAGTGGGTTTGGGGGAACGTGATGAAATGTTGAATGGATACAAGCGGGTGAAACAACATCAATTGGGGTGATGGTCTAAAGCGATTGAAGCAAGCAATAGAAGAATTAGTAGACGGTGAAAAATTAGTAAACAGTAGTTTGATAACTAAAGAAGTCTAAAAACAAAAAAACCCCGTAATAAGCGCGTAGCAGTAGTGTTATGTGTATAAATACCAAATATATATATTGTATTTGTGTGCGTGTGTACGTTCACAACTAGCGGTAGGCCATGGTGGCGGAGTGGTTACGCGTTAGGTTGTAAAAGTCCTAAGTCAAGAAGGGTTCGATTCCCTTACTAGGCGTCATACTGTATAGTTGAAATCATAGATACGCACACATATTTTTTAATAAAAGTTTATGTCACACACACACATACATTTTGTTTTATAAAATTTTATTACTGTTCTTTTACATTTTTTCTTCATTACTACCTGGTGTCACAGGAGATTCGCCCCCCCAGGAGATTCGCCCCCCTCTCAAAAGGGGGGCGATATTCCTAGGATATTCGCCCCCCCGGGGCGAATCTCCTAGGAATATCGCCCCCCAGGGGGGCAAATCTCCTAGGAATATCGCCCCCCTTTAGGAATTTCGCCCCCCCATATAAATTTTGAATTTTTGATCTGAAAACAAAACGATTGCAAGTTGAAAAGATTTATTGTGTGATTTATTTATTTATTACAAAGAGACAAAATTACATACACATTTTAGGCTTCTTAGCAGCTGGTAGTGTGCACACTGCAGTCTGCATAACCACTCATTTGAGGTACTTAGACTAGTGTCATATTCTACACATCTAAAGTGGAACCATTGCCCACAGAGATCGCATAAAATCATGTTGTTGTATTCTTCTGACAGTTTACATTCACATAACATATTATAAAAACAATCGCTTGCAAATTTTATCAATACCAGTGTTAACAATGGGCGTTGTGAAAACCTGGAATGCCGGCATATCACGGAATATGGCGGAATATCACGGAATATGGCAGAATATCACGGAATATGCCGGAATATGGCGGAATATCACGACATTTTCCCGGAATATACCGGAACATCACAATATTGTCCGATGGTAGCCATGCGACTGTTTATAAACATGGATGTCTGACAACATATTTTATTACAAAAGTGATGTATTTTTCCCATTTGACGGTATGTAACAAACAATAACTCTATACTGTAAGTTTTATATGTTGTCTATATTATTATTACGAGTGTTCACCAAAAATTGTGAATCAATATGATTAACTCCTCCTGAGTTACAGCGTCTTGAAAAACAAAAGTGCTGACGTCAGCGTCATTTCGAACGCCTTCAGAACCGTTTACACTTGCAATTTTTGCTGCGATTTGACGATTTCTACTGCGATTTCCTCCTTCTAATGCATGTGAGCAAGTAGATGAGTTACGAATGTTCGGAGTACATGTACTCTCATCTGAACATTCATAACTTATCCACTCGTTTACATGCATCAGAAGAAGAAAATCGCACATAAAATCGCAGTAAAAATTGCAAGTGTGAACGAGCCTTTTATACACAAAATTTAGTTAAAAATTATTGGTTAAGGTTTAATAAGACGGGACTTCTTACCTGATATAAACAACTGGCTCAAAGTTGCCTTAATTTTAGCTTTTGAGTTTTGGATAAACGCTTGGTGGTATAAAATGGTCAATTTTAACAAACTTTTGTGTAAATAACACAGTTCTGAAGGCGTTCGAAAATAATGCTGACGTCAGCACGTTTGTTTTTCAAGACCGGCGCTGTAAAGGCCTAATTCCACGACGAGCGAAATGCAAAATATTTCGCGCGAAAACACACTTGTGCGAAAATTTTCTCTTGTAGTGATTTCCACAGTAGAGAAAAAAACCATTCGCCAAAACACAAGCATTTGATTGGTTTCGCTATTTTGTCATCCATAACACAAGCATTTGATTGGTTTCGCTATTTCCATTTCGCAACGGAGTAGAAACCAATTTAACTACCCGGCGAAGAGAAATATTTCGCTGAGAAACATTCCAAAATCATGTTGCGCATGTGTTCAACCTTTTCACGCGAAATTTAACTCAGAAAGAATTAATCATATTGATTCAAAATTTTTGGTGAACACTCGTAATAACGATATAAACAACATATAAAACTTCCAGTATAGAGTTATTGTTTGTTACTTACCGTCAAAATGGGAAAGATCCATCACTTTTGTAATAAAATATGTTGTCAGACGTCCATGTTTATAAACAGTCGCATGGCTACCATCGGAAAATATTGTGATGTTCTGGTATATTCCGGGAAAACCAATTTAACTACCCGGCGAAGAGAAATATTTCGCTGAGAAACATTCCAAAATCATGTTGCGCATGTGTTCAACCTTTTCACGCGAAATTTAACTCAGAAAGAATTAATCATATTGATTCAAAATTTTTGGTGAACACTCGTAATAACGATATAAACAACATATAAAACTTCCAGTATAGAGTTATTGTTTGTTACTTACCGTCAAAATGGGAAAGATCCATCACTTTTGTAATAAAATATGTTGTCAGACGTCCATGTTTATAAACAGTCGCATGGCTACCATCGGAAAATATTGTGATGTTCTGGTATATTCCGGGAAAATGTTGTGATATTCAGTCATATTCCGTGATATTCCGCCATATTCCGTGATATTCCGGCATATTCTGTGATATTCCGGCATTCCGGGTTTTCATAACGCCCGTTAACAATAGCCGCCACAGTAATCAGTGACTAATCACTTGCTAACAATAAACTATAGGATTAATAAAAAATCTATGGAATGTGTTGGGAAGCGTATTGACTATTGTCCGTTGAATCATCAACTTTCCAGTCTTTCCATGTCAGTGTTTAATTTAATAGTGATGTAATCTTGATTCTTGACTTCCGCAAAGAAAATTGCATTATATATGTGGTGTGGTTTATTCAAATAATTTCATGATACTTTGATTTTATTAGTGCCTCAAACATTTGAGAATGTAACTCTGCAAAACTAAAAGCTTATTCATCTTTTTTGAAACGTATATTATTGGAGTAATGCCTATTGGCAAGTTTTACCCTTCGCTTCTGAGATTTACAAACTATATTGAAATAATGCAAGTAAAAAATAGTGATAACTTATAAGCCACACATTTTCCAATAACGACAAAACGTGGATGCAAAACAATACCAATAATTACAATAACTACCATGGTGATTACTTTTTAACAATGAGTTTAAGGATTAACACTGAAATGCAAAATATGCATGGTGTGCTGTGAAGCATCATAAGTCCTATTGATCTACTGTAACTGTGTAAGCCCTTTCGATACATGTAATTGTAAATTTGTATTCTTACATGCAGGGCTTGAAATAATAAACGTTCCCAAAGTTCACGATCATGGTGATCGGCAATCATGACTTTCCCTGCTTTTTTCAGGTTGGAAACCGAAACCCTGCTTTTCCGCCGATCATATTAAAGCAATTCCTTGCCGATCGGTGATCGGTTGTTATTTCAAGCTCTGTCTTAACAATTTTGAATTGATATTGATTTCAAATGATTAAAGCCATGTAATAATTATCCCATGCAACTGTATGGTGGCCTATGAGTGCCATAAGAGTTTCCAGTACGTTTTTAAAGATTCCTAGCTTTTTTTCACTCTATTTATATATATTTTTTTATTTCAATCTCTTTACTTTACATTATAATTATAAATCGTTTTATTTTATTCAGTATAAGCAAAATGAGTTTTATTTTCCAATAAAACGTTTCAAAATTTTGATTTGTTTTGTTTCAGTTTTGTTTTATTTTGTTTCAGTTTTGTTTGGTTTCAGTTTTGTTTTATATTGAAACAGTTCAGTTTTCAAAAAACTAAACCGAGTCCATGGCCTATGACTGCCATAACCCACAATCCCCTGCAAACATACCAAAAATATATTAATACTACATGAAGTATTGCGTGACACAGACTGTTCTGGTTCTGACTCAGCAAATTTGGATGCGCCATATTGAAAAACGTAGATCACACGTGGGAGATTCCGATATTTAAAAAAAAAACGTTTTGAATGCTGCTTCCTCTGTGCCACAAAAAATAAATATGTCGAAACGAAACTGCAAGGAGGATTTCGCAAAGTTCAAAGAAAGAATCTCTAAAAAGAGAAGAAAAGAAGACACAACTTCCAAATCGGATATGGACTATATTACAGTTCAAAGACTCTCCTCGCATGTCGAAGGAAGGTATCAAAAATATGCAAGGATTGGGCCTTTAGCAAGCATTCCTCTCGGTCGAGAACCCACAATCCAGAATATTAAAGAGGCTTGCAAGCGCTACTTCAACGTGGAAGATGGATCTCACTGTGATATACTAGCTGGGGAGAGAGGACCATCTTGGACAGAAACGAGTCAGCTAAATAACTGGAAGGTAATCCATATCCGTTTCATTGAGGAGAGTGATGAGTGCCAATTGCGTGATGAAAAGCTGGTAGAGATCAGTTCCAGTCAACGGTGGAAATCACATGGGACCCCAAAGAAAACAACCCCTTCAATGTCCACCAAAGTTGCAGCCTCTGTACCTCTGAGTGCTATGCTTAAACTTGGCAAAATAATTCAACCTACTGAGGAAATAGTTACAGTGCAGCTTGAAGAATTCAAGATAAATGAAAAAGCATGGGCTCAGCCGTTTGAAGCTACACTTTCTCTTTCCAAAGAAAAATTTGCAAGTGGCGGCATCAGAAATGCATACATTGCCACCCCCCTGTCAGGCCTGAGTCCAGGAAAATATGTGTTAAAGAAGATCAAAGAGGAAAAGGTTGATGAAATTGAGAAGCTGTTTAAGTCAATTGAGGAGCACACAAGAAAAGCAGTGCAAATGAATGCACTAGTAAGAAACTTTGCTATGACATTAGCCAGTGAGGCCCCTGTTGAATATGGTTGTGTTCTAAGTTACACAAAGGTTTACTTTGGAAGGCTTTATGGCGAGTTTGTAACATTGGAAAACTATCTAGAAGGAGAATTCCAAAAGTATGTGAACAATACTGGGGAGGTTTATGGAGAAAGTGAAGTAACCCATAAGGCAGAAGCATTCTGCCACTATACTTATGAAAGGTCAGAACACCAACTTATGGTTGTAGACATCCAGGGAGTAGATCATAATCTTTTTGACCCAGAAGTTGCCAGTTCAACTCTTTTTTATGCCAATGACAAGACAATATTCTTTTGTTGTGGCAACCTTTCCACAGATGCTATTGATATGTTTAAGGCAGTACATGTTTGCAACAAATTTTGCCATATGCTTAAGCTTAAAGAAATGTAGATAATATATAACCAGTTGGCAACATGATAAGGACATAAAAGAAAACAATGGTTCATAAGTTTTAATCTATATCTCTCACAGACTCTCAGGTTTATCATATTTATTCTATTTTGCCCCTTGAGCATGAAAAGTCAGTGCATATTTAGATGAAGGAAATTATTAAAAATGCTTTTCTATATTCAGTGCTCCACTATTAAACTAAGATGTGACATACATTGTGCATTGCTTACACAGAAAATAAATTATACCTGTGTACCAGTATTAAACCCATCTCTCAATTAAACCCCCTCCTAAACAAACTCGTAAAAAAATAAGCACTACAGGGGCCTGATAGAGAGAATACAGAAATGGCTTCACCCAGAATGTCATAACTTTTTATAAATATGTTTAAGTTAAAATTGACATTTTAAAGTGTAGATGTGTACTGTTAAAGATACATATAGAGGCCATTTTGTGTGCAATAGTTGCACAAACTGTACCATCATTTAAAGAAATTGTATTATTCTGGTTCAGGTTGAGTTTAGAGTGCATGTAACATATGAAACTTTGCATTACTGTCGTTCCAATTGAAGTGTTGCTCAAATATTGATTCAATACATTACTTCGGGCTGACCAATTCATTTGATCAAGTTCCTCGAGATATTCATACACTTCCTAGTATAATTGTAAACTTCCTGTTGAAGTGTATGAATATCTCGAGGAACTTGATCAAATGAATTGGTCAGCCCGAGGTAATGTATTGAATCAATATTTGAGCAACACTTCAATTGGAACGACAGTAAATTGCACAAATTTATCATGAATATAATGAATGCACTTCTAGCAACTACTGGCAACAACAAGTTGACAGGTTGTAAATATTGCGTTATGGTTTAAATTCATCTAATCTTTGCAATTCATTGTTGTTTACTTTATTTAAGTTCAGTTTGTAAGACAAATAACATGTTGCTAAAATCAAAGAAGTCAATAAAATGAAATTATTTTTTGTCTTAAAAAACATCCTCATCAACATGTGCCTTTAAGTATAGGTAGGCGTCCTTAGCATCACTTGGCTTTATTTCATCCATTTTAGGCAAATGCTTCTCACATTCTTTACGAACAGCTGGTCTCAAGTAATCATCAGTATCTTCCATGATAACATTTGATAGCTCAGCAACCTCAAGCAGTTGTTCCTCTGTTATATTAATACCACACTGTTCGCTGCCATACTTCTCCGGAAAATGGAATATGTGCTCTGGAACTCCTGCTGGCAGCTCTTTTCCTTTTTGTGTACGTGTTCTGTGGTTGTTCCAAACACACTCCCGAAAAACATCTAGTTCCCTCTGAACAACTGGGATGTGCACATAGGCTAATAGGTCTCTATAATAAATTAAATAAGGTCTGCTTTTTTGTTGCCAACTATACATGTACAAGTAGTATCAAATAAGTAATTGTCTAATATTTTCATTTTATACCAGGCCTGGAAATAGTGGTGGATCCTAGGAAAGATGTTCCTAGAATATATTTTGATTGGGTTGGGGGTGGACCCCCCAGTTGCCACCAGAGTGTGGGGGTGCACCCCCCCCCCCAATAATTTTAAACATCAAACTTGTCAAAATGTTTGTTATTGGTCAACGACTCAACATTGCAAATAAAAATCCCAGCAAAAAGTACATTGGTATTCTAAATCATATATGACATTCTGAAAATGCCATTTCCGACCATCCTTGGATAGCAAATTTTCAACACATTTTGCCGATGCGAGTCTGCTATGCATAAAATGCATGCAATTATCATACCGGTCATTTTGATCGCTGGAATCATAATCTCCACTTTCAACTAAGGACTTGAGTTGTTCTTTAAAAAACCTCTCCATTCTTTCATGAAGCTCCCTCCACCATCTTTCGATCTTGTTTTGGGTGGAAGGTCCATAGAGTATAGCATCTAATGGATTATCCAAATCACCATTTCTTTCTCTTAGAAAGCAATGAATTGTCGCCATGACATCGGTTTCTGTCCCCCGGTCCACCCTCAATGTTTGTGGTAAAACTGAGCAAAATAGATAATACAGCATTTAAAATCTTATATAATAATTCATATTCTCATTTCAAGCTATAGTAAGCTTCGAAAGAAAAATAACAAATGTAATAAAAAACATTCAAAAGATCCTACCCCTAGACTCAAACAGGTATTCAAAGTAGAGCCTTCCTATTACCAAAGGGTTATTGTTAGTGGTCCACACTCTAAGAAAATTCATCCTACCACTGTATGTATCCAGGCCACCATATATACTTAAAGGAAACATGGACTTCTGATAGCCACAAAGCTTATCATGACCATCCAGTGACATAGTACTGTTCGATCCCTGTTTAAATTCAATAAATTAAGACAATTTACAGCCATCAGTTTTTAGTTTTTAACTGAATAATATGGGAACACACCAAAAACATTAGTACGTGTAATGAACTGAATCACTGAACCAACAAAAAGATAAACCTGAATTTTTGTATATTTTTACACTATATAATTTTAATAGTAGGTGAATGAGCCCACCCCTCTCAATTATCCAGGTCCCTCCTAAAAAAACACCTACAATATCACACGCCTGGGGGTATTATAAAATCTCTGACCCATTTGCCAAATACAAAACAATCAAATTAGACTCAGCCACTCAGGCCAAAATAAAGACATGATGTCAAATGATTCGAATGAATTATTACCTACTCCACTCACGAACGCATTCGTTCTACGTGGATGTTTCGGTTTTCCAACTCCACCTCGGGATTTCAGTCCTTCTGGGTCTGCTTCTCCCATCACAGCGTATACTAAATCGTGTGACACATTGAGTCCATGTACTTCTCTTACTTTCTGCTGCATTGCTCGATAACCTAGAAGAACGCCTGGACCGTCCAACTCCTTTTTTACAGCTTTTTTAACGTCTTCCAATTCAATGTCATAGTCCGTGTATTTAATACCAAAATGTTGAAGCCTACGACTTAAACTGCGAATGCTCCATGCATACATGGGATAACCCGCAATCATAAAGTCTAAGATCTCTTCTCGTCTCAAATTTCGCTGTACATATTTTTCAAGGTCTTGTCTCATCTCTTCATCATTTTCCCAATCGGAGTTCCTAATGCGTTCCGCCATATTTACATATTTACCAAAAAATACCACACAATACTTCATGTAGTATAATATATTTTTGGTATGTTTGCAGGGGATTGTGGGTTATAGCAGTCATAGGCCATGGACTTGGTTTAGTTTTTTGAAAACTGAACTGTTTCAATATAAAACAAAACTGAAACCAAACAAAACTGAAACAAAACAAAACAAAACTGAAACAAAACAAATCAAAATTTTGAAACGTTTTATTGGAAAATAAAACTCATTTTGCTTATACTGAATAAAATAAAATGATTTATAATTATAATGTAAAGTATTATAATATAAATAGGGTGAAAAAAAGCTAGGAATCTTTAAAAAAGTACTGGAAACTCTTATGGCACTCATAGGCCACCATACAACTGTTAGGAAGGGCGAAATATTGAACGGAGGATGAAAATCCTAAAGAAAAGGTGAAGTTTCTAAAGGGGGGCGAATTTCCTAAAGGGGGGCGAAATTCCTAGGATTTTCGCCCCCCGGGGGGCGAATATGTAGGGGGGGCGAAAATCCTGGGACACCGGTATACCGGTTGTTTTATTTTTAAAACTATCACTTGCGACGATAAGTCTAAATGTTTGGTATGGGTTTTCAGCAGCTTTTGCTTTTTCGTAGTCCACCCCAGAAATTTTCACTGCAATGTCCATCAGATATTTCCGGTCCCCAGCATTAATCTATAAACGAAACATAAAGTTTTAGACAAAAAATAGGTAAGATAAATATTTTGCTTAAAATATGTTTACCGTATGTATCTTCATATGATCTCCAGGAAAAAAACTCAAATTAAATTATATTAAATTTGGGATATGACCATATTGGGTCATTGATTTTTTTGTTATGAATGGTAGTGGAGTGGTATTTGGAATGTCAGTCGGGATGTGGCATCAATTTGGGATATGACCATATTGGGTCATTGATTTTTTTGTTATGAATGGTAGTGGAGCGGTATTTGGAATGTCAGTCGGGATGTGGCATCAATTGCAAAAGATTTATGGAAGATCTTTTAGAGAAAAATATTTTAGAGAAAAATCTTTTGTATTTTTTCATACAAAAAAGGGTATAGCTTTTAATGAGGCTTTGAAAGAAAGTTTTGGCGCGAAAAAGAAACATGAAGGTACAGGTAAAATTATTTGGTATGATCGTGATGTGTTTTATACGGGTATAGAATCCGTATTTTGGGGAAAAGTATCACCTAACATTGCCCGTACACCTGTTGATAGATACACTATTCATGGTATGGATGGTTTTTATCAAAGCAAGATTGGACGTGATCGTTTTCATAAAACTGCGTTTTTTAAGCTAGCCGATGATGAAAAAGTGTTGAAATTTTATTTTTACACTCATAATTATGCACATAATCATCCTGTGTTGGGGTTGGCAGAAATGGATGCACATTTCGAGACATATTTTCACTTAGCATTAACGGAGAAAGATGATATTAACGCTATTCAGTATATTTTGCAACATACGGGTGTACTGGTGTCGTTGTTTATAATTCAGCTGGCAAGATTTACTTGGGATAAAAAACTTGAACTAAATGGATAAAAGTTTACGTGTTTTAGATAAAAGAATGGATAGTTTGTTAAATAGTGAGGCATTTAATAAAGCTTTAGCAGTATTAAAGACAAAAATGGAAGACGACCATATCCTATAGGGTATGACCAAATTAGAACATCTAGTTAAAAAAGTTACATTACAGGGTATTTTAGTTAAAATCTATATAAATCATTCTTTATTAATTTTTGTTACAATTAAAAAAAAACGTTGCGAATGGGGTACGATCCGAGTGTTGCGTCTAAGTGGGAGGTTGAAACTAGTAAATGGATGGAGGGTAAAACATTTTATATACGAGACCCGTGTAATTGTATCCCCGCACCTCCGAAAGAAGAGTGGAACATAACGAAATTATGTGATATTTTGGTTGAGCAAAAGTTAATACCGCCTTCGATTCGAAATGATGAAAATTTGTATCGTGCGTTACTTGCACAAATGCATGTGCAACTATTATGCAATTTGGTGGTTCCAGTAGCTGTGACAATGGAGAATTTTTATAGAAATTCCAATGTTAAACCCTATATTATGGCTGATGCGAATGACAAAAAGAGGAAAGCTGTAAAGGATTTGGAAAATGTGAGAAAGCTAGAAGGCTTGCGGAACCCGCTGCGGCACGTTTTGCAAAACGAGTTAGTATTTTTTAACTTACTTTCTTGTTTTTATTACTACCCGTTTTTCTAATGATGCCAACCAAATTGCCCCTGCCATTTGTGGGTTTGTATTCACATCACGAAAAAAAATTCCAGAGTTTAGGTGCATGTATTGATAGGTGGTAGGTGTTGTAAAATACGTTTGTCCAGTAGCCACAAATTTGTCAGCAAATTGTGGGTTATTGTATTGTATTTCATCATAATATTTTTTTACTTGACATATATAATCTTCGTAACTTTTGTATTTTGCTGTCATTTTTGTAGCAACGACTTGAAGGAAAGGAGACAAGAAGTATGACAAAAGAGCGTGGTGCTGGTCTGTGTTTATTTTTTAAATGACCATATTTGGACATGTGTATAGAAATTATATTTTTTTCGGGATTCAAACGAATGTATGTTGTAAAAATACAAGTTATGAATTTTGAAATTGTGTTGCGTGATATTATACCCTTAGGAGTAAATGTACCATTTACAAATCAGCTAGAGTTAACCGATCGTTATTATGTCTTACAATTTTGGAATCGTCTTACGAGAGATAAACCCATAACTGATGTCTTATATATGGGGCAATTTTTAAATAAATTGGTTATTATAGGTTATGCTATTTCACATTGGAATAGGCTACGAAGTGAACAGCTAATAGTTAATGAGAAAAAAAGAAAAAATGGAACATGCGTTACCCGAGCAAATAACATTTGTGGTTTTTGATAATGATGTACCGTTGCCCGATAAACCTACCAATTGGTCAGTGTTTGAAGAAAGTGTACTTTTTAACAATATTTTGGCACGTTATGTATGGCGTGATATGCTTACGCGGACACGTAATTTTATTAACAAGGGTGTTTGGACTGCTATATTTAACCTATCGTTGAACGAGTGTTGGTATAATATTTATAATATCTATGACGTTATTATTGAGAAGTGGTTTGGTGAAAGGATGGAATCGTTAATACAACCTGATAATTGCAATAGTGGGGAACTATATAATATTGCTATGTCGAAATTACAGCGGCGGAAAACAGCGAGCGTACAACGTTATGAAAGCGTAGAGGAATATGTTGACAATATTTATTTGATAGAATAATTTATATTGACAGATTAATTTCTACCAACAATTGTAAAAAAAAATGTTATAGACTACCTTATTGAGAAATAGTATGAAAAATAGTATGTTCACAAGCGGTTTGTTTTTTGTACCATTCTTCAGAATGAAATTTAACACAATCGTTGCAATCTTTCATTTCACAACGCTAAATAGTGAGAAAAATTGTTTTAAAAAAATCTTAAATATCTGTAAAAAATGAATAAATTAAATAATACCAATAATAGTTCCAATGCTTGCGAGGTTCCAATTGTTGATCAAGTTTCTTAAACTTCTTGACATTTGCCGAAAGTATTACATTGTTACCGTTTCGACCAATAGGCATACGAGATGGTTGTAAGATAACTGCTAGTGGAACATTTGTTAAATTTAACAAGACTATTTTTTTTGTGACAGTCGCCGGTACTATTTGAGTATGGTTGGGTTCAGATATATCTATCATTGCCAAAATGAGATAAAATATTTTTGTGTTTGTATTTATAAGTTTTAACATCCGTATTAGGAAGTGTAAAAGAATGTGTAAAAAAAAAAAGATTGCACAATTTAAAGATGGAAGAATTTATGTGTGTGCAATTGAAATCTTTGGAACTTGAAGAAGAATATTATGAAAATAATACGTTATACCATGAATTTTGGGTTGGTGATAAAAGTTTTATTAAATCCGATAGTGATAACGATTCTATAAAAGCTGAGTATGGCAATAGTGATAGTGAAGACACGATGAATGTAGAACCACCGTGTCGGTACCACCCCAAATACGTGGAGTTTGTAGTGTTTAATATGGAAATGGAAAATCAATATAAATGAATGCGGGAAGGTTTAGCATTTGCGATGTTTAAGGAAAAAGTTGAGACGTAAATGGGAATCATTATCTGACATTAGCAAGAGTTTTGAGCATGACTTGTCATGACTAATGTACACGGGTGAAAAGTTGGGGTCTGGCAATGATGTGATGTTAGATGATTTCATATGTTTTCTATATGTTATCAGTCAAACACAACAATATGATGATGAAATACTGTCTACTTATCGAACAGAATTAGCAGAAATGAATAAGATAAAATAATGTACACGAGGGAAAATTTTTATTTAAATTTTTCTGGACATTTTATTTTAAGTTCATTGATTAAATGTTTCATAGTGTTTTTGTACTCTACAGTGTTTAACATTTTTTTAACATTTATACGATTTTGTTCGGCTGTTACATGATTATTTGTACCGTCAAAATACATTTGTCCTTCGTCGGTGTCATCGTCGGAAGACGATTCGGAACTATACTCTTTTTCATCGTCTTCTCTTTTTCTTTTGCTCGTTTTTTTTTTAGAAGTCAAACTTTCTTACTAGCACACATTGATTACAACAGCGGGATTCCCTATCACGCATTTCCCGAAAACAATAGAATGTCTTGTTCGACCGTAAGTCTTGCTCGTTTTTGATATCCTTAAGATTTGTTATGGGTGAGATTTTACTGTTTACTTCTGTTAGTCCTTCGTTGATTTTTTTCAATTTTTTAAAATTTTTTTCAAAGCTGTCGTCGTTGTTGTTTTTTCGTAATCGTTTAGGTTTTTGTTTAGGTTTATTTCGTTTTTGTTTTCCTTCCCTTCTTATATGTACAGCGTTAATTAGCGTGGTTTCTGATACTGCCGATGTTTCTCCACAATTGTGTGTATCAGTAGGTTGGTTTAGTTGATAATGCAATATTTTCAGACTTGTGTCGTACAATTGTCTTGTTTAAGACAATTGAGACATTTTGCCACACAGCGACATTCTCTTGGACCCACACAGTAATCACAGTTCGACATTTTGTGAAGAAATATAAATGAGATATTTCTTTTCATTTTGAAAATTGTTTTCCATATATGGTGAAAAGAAGGAATGTTGGGGAAATACATATATATATATTGTTGGGGTTATTAATTTAAATTTAGTCTTAAAGTAAATTTTAACATGGCAACATTAAAAAAACAACTAGGTTGTAATTGTCCCACGTGTAAAACGTGGGATAATAAATTGGCGGCGGGTAAATTGATATGTGAGAAAATGGAATGTGCGTGTGAAGATTATGTGTCGTTGGTAGCGGGGCAAGAGAATGGTACGAAGTATGCGCGTTATGTATGTGGTGATAAAAATTTTATTAGCAAAGATGCCGGCGGGTATTTTTGTGGGTTTGATATTGACGCAAATGTATACAAGTATTGGGCGATTATGGCAGGTGTTCAAGAATATATTTTCTACATGTTGTATCGTGATCGTTGCAAGTGTGAAATGCAAACCAAAGTTGTTTTGCAACGTGTTAGTTATTCCGCTCCTTCGTATTTGCGAGGACCATCTGCGAAGAATGAATTACAATTATTTTATGTATGCAGCAAAGATGTTTGTGACGTCAAACTTTCGGTTCCCGAAATTGCTAGTAAGCGATACGTGATAAAATGTCTGTGTGGGCGAAAATGTATATACGAATACGGTGTTTATAGTTGTCCAAAAGTGGGGGGCAGTTGTGGTGTTTGTTTTCATGAAAGGGATTCGTTAACATTTATGCATACATGGATTGTAAATAAAAAGAAACAGTTAACTTTATACCCACCTAAGATATGTCATCTTAGAGGTGTGCTAAAATATATATTTAATGAGATTTCTATGCAAGGTCAACTATTGTATAGATGTCGAGCTACGTCTGATTGTTTGCTTGTTAAAGACATGGATTCAAAAGATTGTGTGATACCGTAACTTTTTTTGTAAATATTTTATTAAAATATATTTTATTTAATTACAAGAAAAGCATCCAGAAATTACCACCTTGTTGTTTCTTGTCTTCATCTAGGAGTTAAAAAATTTTGTGTTTTGGTATATTGTTTTTTTTTATATTGTATTTGTATCTTACATCTGTTTACCTCCCCTTCGTCTTCTAGGGCGTCACCGCGGTTGATAATAATAATCGGGTTGTGGTTGATAATAGTAGTAATAGTAATAGGAAGACAAAAAAAAAGGGGGTGTGTGAACCTACTTCATTTAACTGGAGCTTTGAATGAAAAGTGAAAGTATCGCGGGCGTCAAAGGCAACATCCGCTGACTGTATGGACGGGGGGGATAATTTGAAGGGGGCGTTCCCAATTTAGGACGAACGCTTGCCGTGTTTGTGATTGACAGGTGGGTTGTGCAAGCGTTGTGCGCATGCGTGGGGGAGCTCCAAAGCCATGGTCGACCGAAGTGACGTTCGTTCGAATTTGCCGCCGTTTTTCAAAGCGCGTAAGCCGTGACGTCAGGAGTTTTTCGTCGTGCTACCGCGTGTCACTAGTGTATTTTGATGTTTCCTTTAAAAATATTGCTTTTTCCTGTGTTTTTCAAATAACTATTAATAAATATTGTATTTTTTTAATAAAAATATCAATATATATCGATATTTAATAGCGTTTTTTAGTTTTTTAAAAAATGCCAGTAACGTTTTTCAATATAACAACTGTAAATTATCGAAGTTTTATACAAAATCAATTTTTATTAATAATATTTACAAAAAATTTAAAAAAGTATACTTAATATAATGTTGTGATAAAAAATGTCATGAGCTAGAGTCGCTATTATTTCGTTTTTTTAATAATGTATGCAATACGTATTCTGCAGCGTTAATTTTTTCCAAAAGTTCACGTTTGTCTTGAATGATTTTCAGTGCTTCTGCACGTGTATCTGCAAACAGTTCATAGGTTTGAAATTCATGTGTCGTATTTACAATGATATCTTCGGGTAATTTTGTTAGAATTTTTTTTAATTTTTTGCATTTGCCACGCGTATCGGGTAGGGTTAGTTGGCGACGTGTCAGCTGTAAAGCTTGCATGTCGTTAAAATCGTCGTCCATACGCACAAGTTGTTGGTCGGTGGTGGGACGACCGCATTCGCGTTTTCGTTTTCGTGTTGTGGTTTTCTTCTCTTTCTTTTCCGTTTCGGCTTCTTGTTCTTGTTCCTCTTCTTCTTCGAATTTTTTCCTTGCCACCGTAATATCTTTTCCCCGATGAATTACTTTGCTGGATGTTGTATATACCTGTGGTATTTGCGTTTCCTCGGTGGTAGCCATGAAATCTTCAAGGTATGAAGTGAGTGAGGGAAATGCTGGTTCGATGTCGATTGTTTTGTTATCAGTGTCGACTGTAGCGGATTTTTCGTCAATGGCAATGGTCTCGCTGGGTTCTCGAGGGTTTTGTGGTGTTTCAAGTGTGAACGCGTTAAACTGCCCTTCGACAATGTTAACATGTTTCTTTAACTTTTGAAGTTTAACAGGTAGTGTAGGGTATTCTGTCGCTGTTAAAACTCTACCTGGGTTTAATGGTGATGCAGGTGTTGGTAAGGATATCTGTTGTGGTGATGTTTGATATTGCGGTGTATTTACTTGCTGTGGTGGAGTTTGATATTGTGGCGTATTGTTGTGAGAAGGTGTTGGCGTTTTGTTCTTGCCGTTCAGCTGCCATTTGATAAAATTTAGTTCGTAAATATTATTTGGATATTCTGCTGCGAATGCTGTAAAACTCCAGTAGTCTGCAAGTAACGGCGTTAGATTTGTGTCATCGGAAACGGTTACCCCCGACAGTTCGAGAAATTTGTAGAAATTTGCATCCATTTTTTAGCAGATGTAGGATTTATACTGTTTCGTGTACGAGTAGTTGTAGTGAAATGTGTTAAAATTATATTCGCAAGGTTTCAAGTGTAAACTTCGTGCCTAAATTTGGTCAGGGCGTTTTTAACCTTGTGACCATATTTGGGCAACGGAGTTTGCGACAATTAAAATATGTTTACATGTGTTTATTAGCGTGTAGCAACGGGTAAATGTGAAATGAAAGGTCTATGACTATATATGGGTATGTAGATATATTGTGTTTACAAGTGTTTATTATTATCGTGTAGCAACGGGTAAATGTGAAAAGAAAAGGTCTTACAACTACATAGGGGTATACCCATATATGGACATGTTAGTTAATAGTTTATATGCAGTGATGGTTCTTATAAGAGCGGTTTTAAATAGTTTACACTATATATTTCAAAGCGAAATGAGTTTTTGTTGTAAACTTTTACTAACATTGCTGCTATTAACGTTTTTATTGTATTTATTTATAATTTTTTATTATTCGAATATATCTATAAAAGATATAGAAGAGGTATTGATCCAAACATATAGCTGTACAGATGAATATGTCGAGGTATGACCACTTTTGCGAAACGTTATTTCACCAATTGAAAAATTGGTATAAACATGAGAGTATTGATATTTATCATGCGGGTTATGTTTTTCGCAATATTTGTGCGTATGTTAGTCAGGCTATGGATGGTGAACATTGTTATATGAGGGTTGTAGATACGAATCGATGTTGTCTTATAAGAGAGTCCGTAATGGAAATAACATATAATTTTCAAGAAAGGGCCGGTCATTATGACATACAGTTTTGTTTTCCGGGTTTCTACGGTGGTTTATGTGGTGTTTTTCATGAAGAATGTTACACTGCTGTGAGACAATTGTATAAGGATGCCAGTATGTGTAGTATTGAACAAATTGCCATAAACATTGCTACACGTTGTCCTGGTGTAATAGTTAGTGAAGATTTAATAAAACAACAAGTGGAATATTATAAGAGGGACACAATGGTTCTTTTAGAATTGGATCATAGGGGTAAAGCTGTTCTACAATGGTTGAAAATAATCTTATTAGTATTTTTTTTCGTTGTAGTTCGGATGAAATAAAAGATATTGTTGTTCAGCTACCTTGTGATACAGTTCTTGATGACGAACCGCTGGCAGTATTGCAGACTATTGCTAGCGATTATAAGTTTTTTGATTTTTATTTACGTGTGGGTCGAGAGCAACGAATACAGTTAGCTGGTGGGCGTTTATGGCCGACTGTAATTGTAGACGGTGTTATGCGAACCATACCCAGTTTTTATATTTACCTTATAGCTGTGACCAAATGTGAGAACGGTGATCGCTATATAACTATTGGAGTCGTACACTGGTTGTTTGGGATTTATGCCGAATTGGAGATTGATTACCGCATCTATCCGGAAACGTTCAAACCACAACCAGGGTATAAAGTTACCTCTATATATTTACCGTCCGTGACGTTTGACAGTGTGGGTTTTGATATTGATTATGTTAATGAACAACAGCAATTAACAGTTCTCGAAGCACGAGATTTTGTTGCCGGTGTGGTAGATACGTTGATTACATATATAAACGAAAATTATCAGACAGATTATCGGACGGTGACCGTCGAGTTTGAAAAGGAGCATGGGATAGCTATATCAAAACGTTTGACACAGATTTTGATATATCATCAAAAATTGGTTCATATCGTACAGGATTGGAGAATTAAGAATTGCAGTTGTACACGAAACGACCAGATTTGTCATTGTGGATTGTATACTAGCCGTGATATAGTTAGATGCAGAAAATTGTACTTTAAAGATGCGGGATTATTGGTTAGTGATGCGGTGTATTTTACCACCTCGAGATAAATATGGTTGGAGATTATACCATTATTTGGAAACATGTAACTTTAATAAACTCGGTGTTATAGGATACACATCGTTATATGCCTATCAGCAACTATATTCGAATGTTCTGTATTGGTTATATATAACGGAAATCCATAGATCGCATCATGGTTACCTGTATCGAATGACATTTCAAACATTAGACGGTTTAGCTCATATACATATGTCGTTCGATCTAAAATATCTTCCGACTATAAATAGTAGTGGACATGTATTGTATGAGACGATGGGTGTTCAAAGTTTGGGTGTTCAATCATGTGTTGAATCTGTGGTTGTTAACAATTTTTTAATTAATACATATAAGACGACTGTAGAGAAGATTGTGAGATATATTAGAGAACATATTACATTTTCATTGACAGTAGATTATGAAGAATATATTCATAAAATGCGTATAAATATAGCCAGGATATATAATACTGTAGTGCCTCCGGATTTCATACGGGGAATGCATAATATAGTAAAGGAAATGTTAAAAAATATGTATTGGTTAGATAGTCGATCGTGTTTGTGTTCGACTATGAATAATTGTTGTATATGTAGAAAGACAAATTTGCATTTTTTAAGTTTACAATGCGAACATATAATGTTAGATTTTTAATAAAAAGAAATAAAAAAGAGTGTGTATATGAAAGGTGTGTGTTAGTTGTCTATTCATATTATGAGGGTATGGAGGGGTTATTTCAAAGAAAGCATAATCAGATGTCGTACGAGGAAGCGCAGCTATGGTTGAAAAAAATAAAAGAGAAATAGCGTCACGTATTACACATGTGATTGATTGCGAAGCATATACGAATAAAAAAAAACATTTCTTCGTGAAATATCGGTCTATCGGGTAAAAACCGGTGAGTGTTCATCGTTTCAAGTGTTTATGCCGTTTGTACCATTTAACGAATACAGCTATACAATTGAGTATCAAATAAAGAAAATTCATGGGTTACCGATTGTACGTAAACGTTTAACCGATGATTTTTATACATTAAAAGAATCGATAGCATTTTTAACAGATGAATTTATGTGTAATGCTGATTTAGTAGCTTATAAAGGTGGTGATATCGAACGTACTTTGTTAAATAATATGGGTGTTCGTTGTATTAATCTCGAAATATTGACATGTCCAAAGTATGCAGACCTGTTGACCATATTTGGTCAACCGCAAGAATGTTGTCCTTATCACCTGGGTAACCATTATCACTGTTCAAAACACGAGGTAAAAATGTTTGCACATTTTGTGTATTCGATCTTGTAAGGATGTTGGCTTTAGAAGCATTATCGTATCTCCTAATGAAACAACCCTATAATCCAATATTGTGGAATTTGTATTCGACCTGTAAATATTTACGAGTCTATAAACCCGCATGGGTTGGACAAAAAAAAATAAATGATTATGTAAAAGTTGAGAAGTGTTGGTTGAAAGGGGGTTTTGACACGATACGCGATTTCATCGCTGTAGATGATCAAACAAATGATGGTAAAACAGTGCAAAGCGACAACCCTGATACACCAGATTTGTTGTGGCCCAAACACCCTCGCATGGCTATTGTTGGTGTTGATTTAGAAGATAGTAGCGGAAAACAAATGTACAGTATACCCGTGGAATGGATTCCATGACTGGCTGTTCGTGATGATGGTCTGTTTGTACTAACACCCTTCAAGTTTTGTTGTCACGAAGTCTTGGTATGTTTAAAGACACAACTGGTACGTTGCCAGTCTTTAACAATACCAAACAAGTATTATGTAGACGAACATTATTTTCACGTCGGTTCGGGAGAATGTAATGAAGATAGTTCGGAGATTGAAGTGTTTGCTGCCGCACACTTGTATGTGGGATTAAAGAGTATCATGCGACATTTTGCCTCGGGGTTGCATGTAAATATGGGGGAAATGCTGATGGCGCTTGATTGTAACATCGAAAATCTGAATTACTATCAGAAAGAAGTGTCCCGTGATGAATTTACAATAACTGTAATATATAGCTTAATAAAGAAGAAGGGTATGTTTATTCGTAAATATCTTGCACATATATTAGTATGTAAAAAATGTAGTAAATATCTTGAAGATTTTTTAACGCTATTAGACCAAAGTGTGGAAGATCATCCATTTTCCGCATATGATGAATTACAATGTGACGGGTATAACCGTCTTGGATTACCCATCTTACGACATATATTAGATGCGGATTTTGATAGTTTAATGGGTAAAGCTTATTACGGTGTTATAGATGGACAGCTAAACACATGCTGCGAATATGTGGACGCTTTTATGGATACATATGTTATAAAACATGTTTGATTTTAAACAACTATTTTATGAGCTGCTACAATTAAAAGGGTTGTATGTATTAAAATACAATGGTATGATAATAGGGTATGCCCTTATAAGGTCATCATATAATTTACTTCGATTTGCACGGTTCTTTAATGTGTGTCGTTTAAAAGAACGTGATCGTGTGGATTTTATTCATTGTTTAAAGTTTCGGAAATTAACCCTACAACAGAACGAAGATATTTTTTTGGCAATTGTTACATAATGGCTACGTCAACTAAAACACATTATTTTGAAATGTTTGCTAACGAATCAAGAGTCGTAGAAGTTTTGAAAAAAATGTTAGAAAATGGAGAATTGACCTATTATCGTTACGTGGGCATACCCAATAGATTGGGGTTAAGAAAGATGACGGGGAGATGGGGTCTGAAACTATATGGGGTTCTACAATTTAAGGAACGAGTGAGTCCTAGAACTGTCCGTCAGTTGTTTTCAAGTGAACGTATTTATTTGGCAGCATTGCTTACAGTGAAAAGACCCATTGTACTAATATTGATGCGGTTGTGGGTGCTGTGCGAATGTTACGGTTTGCATTACAAAGAAACACGGTGTTCCAATACACCAATCGGTTTTGGGGGTCGAAAAACGGAAAACGAAGTACGTTATATGAAACCTTATATTAAAGCATTAACCCAGTATACAGAGTGTGAGAGAAATGATTTTTGTTACAATAATTTAAACGGTGCACGACAAATATGTAAATATAAACTTATGCTAGAAAAGAAACTGCAAAAACGAGTATGACCATATATAGACGTTGACATTATATATATATATTTGTGTAGTTTTAATCTTTAGTTGTGATGATGTTGTCAGTACAACAACATCTATTATGGCGTAGTGTAAAATTTAAAAATAAAATATGATTTTTTTAACACCTGTCAATCAATCAATTTATCAATGAATATTTGCAGTTTGCATTTATTCACGTATAAACGTGCAAAGTTTAAAAAAACGATTATATGATTGACAGGTATCCAGAACGATTATAATAAATACGGGGTGTGATAGGATCAATGTTTAGTAGTGGCAAGCGATTGGGTAAAGGAGCAAGTAGCGAACGAGGTTGAAAACTAAAAAGAACCCGGGAGGTTATACGAGAGAAGTGATTCTTGTAGAACACGTCGTATAACGCATCGGTGGAAAAAACAGATAAAAACACGTCGTTATATGCATCGGTGATAAACAAGACAAAAAGATATAATAAAACAATAAAAGGTATGTAATTTTTTTATTGATGATATTGATAGACTACAGGCATATGATTAACGGGTTTTCGTAAAGTACCGCCTTCTTGGTTTTTGGTAGGTTTCTCCCGACGTTTTGCTTGTCTCGCTTTACGTTTTGCTCTTTTACTTGTCTTGCCGCATATCTTTTTCCGTTTACCACAGCATCTGCAACGGCTTGTTGTAATATATCGCCAGGATTAGGTATGGCTGTACCACCATGTTGATTGTATCTTCGAATTCGATTGTATTTTCGTGGTCGACCCAAACTGCTACGTATTTGTGACATTGTTGTTCGTAGTTGGTTTTAAGAAAATATGAAATGTTTTTAATAGTTACAGATGTTTTTATAACCAATAGTCGTTGCCGTAGTTAACAAAAATTTCCGAATGTGGTGGGATACGTTGCGAGGATTTTAAGCGAAACATCTGATTTCCACGCATGCTACTATTATAACGAAATTTTGTATTTCGAGCATCATTTGCAAATCTACCCGCAGCATCTGTTGTATGATTTGCATCGACGCACAACCCTTTTTGATTACATATGGCATATTTTGCAGTGCTATTACCATATTTTCTATCAATTTGTTCACGAGTACGCCGTCGTCCTGTGTATTTTGAAATTACACGTCCAGACGGTATGGTTTTTTTCCAGCTAAATAACCCTTTTCCAGCATTCGGAATTTGGGAGGGTTTAATTCGTAGATTATCTTCTTTTGCTAAATGTATCCAACATTTTGGCGTATGTGCTGTTCGTTTACAACATCGTTTTTGTAATAATGTATCGCTAATACATTGTTTTGATTTTCGAATACTTTGTTGTTGTTGATATTTTTTTTCTTCTTAAGTTTGTCACAAAACGTCCACTCATTTTTTCTGGTTTTATTCGGCATATACAATAGTTACACCGATATAGTCATCGTCGTAATGTCGTTCGATATATTTTATTATATTTTCAATTTTAGTCACCACATCCGGAGGCACTTCTGATTCAAATTGAAACAACTGCAATCTCTGATGTAACGTGTCCGGATCCACCTTATATATAAGATCTTGATCTTTGGTAAAAGATTCAAAAGCTTCTATAAATATGGTAGGTGTAAAAATAACACATTTGTCATCGTCGGTTACCTCGTAACCTATTTTGTAAAGATCCCGATCACTTTTGTACGCTTCATTTAGTATATGTATACTGAGATATGTATTTCAAATTTGTCGCTCATTCTTGATTCGAATGCTGCTTGTTCAACACGCGTGATTGAAATGGGTCAAAAGTGTTTTAAAGGCGGTGAAGATACGCCATGGGTGACATTTAATTGTAATATGATGCAAATTCGTGAAAGTAATAATATTGCGATGGATTTTACAGATGGTGGGGAAGATAACGACGTAAAAGTTAGAAATTGTTGTTGTATTCAATGGCGTCGAAGGGTGGTGAAAAAAGACAGAGAGATGAAGAAGGGAATGGAGGAAATAAAAGACAAAAGGGTACCAACGGAGAGGCGACCCAAAGGAGAACAATTGAATTGGTGAGGAAATTATTTAACGAACGAGATAGAGAAAAACGGGAACAAAATATTGAGGCAATTGCACAAATGGTTGTCACTAGAAATGATAAACACTCGCAAATAAATAGATTAGCCGAAATGGTTAAGAAAACAAAAACTTTATATAAAGAAAAACGTAGTTACAATATAGAGGATCGTGACCTTATAGAATTAGCAGCACTTGTGCAATCACATAAAAATGTCAGCGTCCAAAAAAAAGCCTTTTCAGTGCGTCAAATACGTACTCATGAACGTTTTGGTTATACCGAATATATATACGATGTAAATGTAGGTAGCAATCATATGGGGAGTTTACCAGATTTTTTGGTAAATTTACGTCGTGTGTTTGATTATTTAATAAATACCATGCTGTATTATGCTCAGACGAATACGGATAAGGCAAGATTTTTTATCTCGAATGCCCCACGCACCCCTTTTTCCACAAGTGTATTAACAGTAAGGATTTTACAACCGACATGTTTTTTAATATTTTCGAGAAACACATGCAGAGTAATGCAGAAGAGATTATAAATAATGGTTGGAATACTACCGTCAGTTTGTACATTTTTCCAAATAATTATGTTTCGCGTAATAAAACGTCACAGGTAAGAAAGAAAACAAAACAAAATAAATTGTATAAATATTTTGGTAAAAACACCACAGAGTCAGGTAGCGGTAAAAAAAATAACCCGGCGTTAAAACATGGTCGCGAAGTTCCGCCACGGTGTTTTTCAAATTGGTAATTCAAATGTTAAAAATTGTTGTTTGGGTTTAGCGCTTCTAGTGAGTAAATCTTATCTGCACAACGATCCTGATGCATACAAACTGAAACGGAACAGTAACTTACCCTTAAGCAGTATATATACAGACGACGCTATTACAAACGTGTATACGGCTAGCCAGCTACCCGTGGGGTTGCCCGTACGTATTGATCAATTACCAGATGTGTATGAAAAATATTTGAAATCGGACGGAATAGATTTGGTTGTTTTTTCCAAACAACAAGCCGACAGTATTGTGTACGATTCTCGATTAGGTCCCGATCAATGTTTACACCGCATTATGAATGAAGTTATTTTTTTGTGGTTAAACGATAACCATTATGATTTAGTGACCTCACCGTACACGTTTGCACGTTTAAATTTGGGAAAGTTTTGTTTTTCATGCATGCGATATTTCCGTCGACACGAAAGAAAAAATACACACGTGTGTATCTTGAGTATGACATGTCATCGTTGCTATAACAATACCTGCAAGTGTGAACCCGTACCCGGTTTTGTACAACAGTGTACGGAATGTGATGTTATTTTTTACAACCCCGATTGTTTTACCAAACATTTGACGCAAAGGGTTTTTAAAACATATGTAAACGGGTCGTTAACAACCGAAACGACGTGTCAGCGTTTTTTTTTCTGTGTCGTGTGTTATAAAACGGTGATGCGTAGAACAATCACAACTAGCAAAAGGTATACAAAGCACAAATGTGACGAGATGTTTTGTATACATTGTAATAAAGTGAAAAAGAAAGATCATCACTGCTATATTAAACCGGTTAAAGAGCATAAAAATGAATCACGACCCACTTTGTATTTCTATGATTTTGAAACACGTGTAGATGAGGGTGATATATATATGATACCTTTTTATTGCGTTGTGCAAAAAGTATGCGATGTTTGCGACGAAAAACCGTTTGTAAAAAATTACGAGCATTTTCTACCACACCCGACCGAGTCGTTTACCGATATCTCTATTGAACCGGTGCTTTGCTGCGGTTATCGACAATATGTTTTTGAAAAAAACAACGACGATATCGTATCGGATTTGATCGATTTCATGATGGCACAACCGAAGAATAGTGTGTGGGTGGCGCATAACGGTGGCCGATTTGATAGTATTTTCTTAATGCGTGAATTATTAGTCCAACGTAAACTCGTACCCAATGTTGTAATGAACGGGAGTAAGGTTATGTCTTTAGAATTGGAAGAACGTAATTTGAAAGTAATCGACAGTTACCTATTTCTTTCGATGAGGTTGGCAAAATTTCCCGAGGCTTTAGGGATTGAAAACGTGACGAAGGGATATCATCCCTATTTGTTTACAGATTTGAATTATGTCGGCGAGATGGTAGGGTTAGAATATTTTGAACTACCCTCAGAGGGTAGCGAGGAGCAAAAAGCTTTTGATAAGTGGTATAGACAACAACAGAGCAAACCGTACGTGTTCCGTGAGGCAATATATTATTATTGCCGTTTGGATGTGGATATCTTAAGACAGGGTTGTATCATATTCTCCAGACTTATCTATCGAATTACGGGTGTATTACCCTTTTACGACCGCACATGCAATACTGTGGCAGGTTTGGCTTTAAAAATATATCGCAAAAATTTTTTAAAAGAAGAGCAAATTGGACAGGTTCCCTCACGTGGTTACGGAGGTGTGAATATTAATCAAAGTGCAATTGCTTTATGTTGGTTGAAAGATATTGAAACTATGCTAGATGAAAATGATCTAAGATTGTGTAGTAAGCTTAGTGTGGGCGGTGAGCGATGTATAATGGGACGTTATGTTGACGGGTATTGTGAAAAGACCAAAATGATTTATCAGTTTCACCGTTGTTTCTATCACGGTTGCGAGCGTTGTTACGACGGCGCTTGTTACAATAGCGTTTTATGTACAAAATTTTTCACACTTTTGGGTAGTACGCAACGTTTATCGCAAATGTTTCGACAAGCAGGGTATACAGTTGTTGAGAAATGGGAATGTGATTATCGCAACGATGTTGACATGACCCCATATCGTTTAAAGCAATTACGTCTGACATCATTTTTTGAATTCATACAATTGGAACCCCGTGATGCGTTGTTTGGTGGTCGTACATCTCCCGCTACACTATATTATGATATGAAGCATACCGGTTTACCCGCAATGTATTTTGATGTATGTTCTCTTTATCCGTATGTGCAGAAAAAATTTGAATATCCAACGCAACATCCGGTCATTCTTAGGGGTCGTGCATGTCAAAATATCGACGTGAACCAAGTGTTCGGTTTAATTAAGTGTAAAATTTTACCCCCCACACACTTATTGTTTCCCGTGTTACCGTTTCGTTCGGAGAAATTAACATTTCCCTTGTGCCGCACATGTGTATAATGTCAACAGAGTGAGACATGTCAGCACGATGACGAGCAGTGTGCACTATACGGTACGTGGACCAGTCTAGAAATCCAGAAAGCTTTACAATTAGACTATCGTATCTTAGTTGTTTATGAAATTTATCATTATCAGAAATGTGAAAAAATATTCGATCAATATGTAAACACGTTTATAAAACTTAAACAAGAAAGTAGCGGGGTACCGAAAAAATGTTTAGACCAAAACGGTGTGGTGGTGAAAGAAAAATTACAGAAATATATTGACGATTATCTGAAGCATGAGGGTGTTGTTTTGGAGGCGTGTAAAATGTCTTACAATGTGGGTCAAAGAACGGTTATGAAAGCTTTATTGAATTCCTTGTGGGGTAAATTGGCTCAAAACGAAGATGTTACGGTTGTATCGTTTTTAGAAAGCATGGACGATTTGTTAGAATTAGTAAACGATCGTACTGTGGAAGTAACCTCTTTAGATTTTATCAGTGATGATGTCGCGAGAACGACACACAGAAAAACGGCCAGTCTAACACCGTTACCTAATCGTAATGTGATTATTGCGTCATTTGTCACAGCGTATGCTCGTTTGGAATTATTAGAATATTTGCTTAAATTAGGTGAAAATGTTTTGTACTATGATACAGATTCGGTGATTTTTATAGAGGATCGTGCAAACGGTAAATTTCTTGAAACCGCCGAATATTTGGGTCAAATGACCGACGAATTAATTGAAAAAAAAAAACAAGCGCAAAATGGATTGAACAATTTTGTTCGGCAGGACCAAAATCCTATTCCTTTCGTACGAATGTCTATACACGTTACAACGATGACGGTAGCGAAAGCAAACAACAAGATGAAATTGTGCATGTAAAAGGCTTCTCGTTAAAAGGGGCTGCCAAAAAATTATTAACATTCGACAGTATTCGAGAGTGTGTGGAAGATCCTGCCAAAGAAATTGAAATTACGTATCGGGAATTTGTGCGTGAAAATACGCAGAGTATTTCGGTACAACAAAATATGAAAACATTTAAATTCACCTTCGATAAGCGGGTTGTGCATGAAAATTTTACAACCACACCTTTCGGTTATCGGTAATGATTTTTTATACTTTTTTTAGATTAAAACAAAACAAAACCACTGTATGCACAATGTAACAATACCCCTTCAACATCCTTTCGTGATGACAATATGCGGGCCCACACAATCGGGTAAAACACATCTACTGGTTGACATAATAAAAAACATTGATGAACTGATTGTACCGACACCAGACGAACTATTGTACTTATACACGGCAGAACAACCGATATATGGGGAAATTACAGATTTTGTTGCTGCAAAACATGAAACATCTGCACTTAAACAATGTGAGTTCTACGACTGTGCACGATTGGGTATACCCACGATAGAGGATATAAGACCGTTGTTGGGTGAACGTACCCTACTTGTTCTCGATGACCTAATGGTCTTTGCAATGTCAAGTAAGGAAAATACTGAAAACTTAAACAATTTAGCTACACGTGATAGCCATCATTTAAATCTCTCTGTATTTTTTGTGTGTCAAACTTTAAATTACGGTAATGGAAAATTACGAAGTATGCGTGTAAATAGCATGTACCATCTTCTTTTTAATAATCACACTGATACTCGAGATATCGAATTGATAGCGCGAAATAAGGGCATCCGTCTGCCAATAATACGAAAAATATTGGCAGATGTGGGTAAAAAACAATATGGATATGTGTTGTTTGACGGATGTCCTCATTCGCCGGCCAACGCACGTGTTCGAACGGGTATATTGCCCGATGAATGTACAATAATTTACAATACAGAAAAACAATTTGTATAAAAATGTTATATTAATAAAATATATAGAAAAAGAGTTACATGTATTGTTGAAATGCTTCTAAATATGTTTTACAAATTTGACCCTTAGCCTTATTACATTTACCCTTATATATATTAACCATGTTTGGATATTCTTGATATACTAACTGTTTTAATTTCTTTTCATTTTCTAAAACTTCATCTTGTTTAACAGAAAATTCGTCGATAATATCATCATTGTTATAGAAACTATGTAGAAATAATAAACACCACGCACCACAGGTCTTGCTAATATATGATTGACGTGGCAATTGCATATATATAGAAAAGTTACAATGTAAACTACGGAAATAATCAAGCCAGTATTTACGACCAAAAAAACGCGGTGTCTTGCCAAAACTATCAAAAAATATAATATCTTGACGATCTTTTACAACACAAACCCAATGTGTGCCGGGTTTATCATCCTCGTCGGTATTCCACACCCAACAACAACAGTCTTTGATATTTTTTGGATATTTATTTGCGGGATAACATCCCAAATAATACGTGTTGACAACTGTGTTTGCATGAGCCAATTTATCAATGTCGTCGGTGTTTAAGAATTTACTTAGAAAACAGATTAATGACGTCATTTAATCCGAAAGATAAGCCCTTTTTCTTCTTTCCTTACCAAGTTTCGTTTGTGGTGCGGGAATGTATGTGGGTAGTTTGCTGGGCTGTTTGCTTTGATTTAAAATATGTTTGTACTCTTCTTTAATTCTTTTATTTCGAATATATGAAATTGGCATATTCGTCTTTTTTAATAACAATAATACCCTACGCCGGTTGTTTTCGTTTAGATTTGGTCGGGTTTGGGTGTAGTTTCGTGTTAAATCTTCAATCATATCCTGATAGGATATACCCAGTTCACTGTCTCCATATTTGATACCTTGCGGTACCGGTTTTACATTGTTTTTTCGTAAATGTTCTTCTATTTTTGCTGCCGAAGCAGCAACTGTGCCGGGTTTATGACCCGCACCCGATGCACCCGCTGTCACTGGGACGGGTGCGTTACCGGCGGTCACATCATCATCATCATCTACGATTTGATCAAGACCAACAGATTTTCGATAACTTTCCGTTTTTCTTAGAAAATTAATGATGTCGTTGCCGGCCGTGGAAGCATTATTTTTAACAGATTTTTTAGCTTCCTGTCGACTTTCAATAAGACCTGCCTCTTCGCTGCTTCGTTTTGCGTTGTTCAATAATTCGTCTCTTGCGTTATTTTTAGTAAGCATATCCATCAGGTTGTTGAATTTATTCGCGTCTATCAACACTAATCGTTTGACTTCTTCGCCCATTTTCTTGCGGATGATTTTTCTTGATCGACTCTAGTTGTCTAATGGCTTTTCGAATGTAACCGTGAATGCGCATATCTTCTACAAACGTAAATTTTATATCTTTCTTTGGACAATCTTTACTGGTAATATATTCTAAAACACCTCGATCACCATGATCTATTTTAATATCAAGTTTGTTACGCACAATAAAATCACACACGTGTAACAGATGTCTTGTAATAGTTGGAGAAATTTGTTGGCTTTTTTGATCAAGATCTAATTTCATAAAATTCGAAACACATGGGATGAGACGATTCTCTTTCTTTTTCTTCACAACTTGTTCTTGTAGTTGCATTATATGTTTTAAAAAACCCTGTATTACTTGTTCATCTAACCCCTCTTCCTCTTCGAATTTACAATTCTGAAAATCATTGTCAATATTAAAATCCGAATTATTATCCACATCATAGGGTTGAATATTTTCATCAATGTCTACATCTCTTTGCGGGGGATCTGTGTTATCAATCACATCGTCAGGCTGATCGGTATTTTCAGCATTACACACATCATCATTATCATTATCATCATCATCATCAGTATCTGAATAACCCGTTAGGTTCACGTTGTCGTTTAATAACATATCTTCGTTAAAATCTGTATTTTCACCCATATTTTGAAATTACACTGTGTATGTGAACAGTTTGAATATTTACCCCTTTATCGCTGATAATTAGTGTGTTGGGCGGTTGCGGTCGTCTCACAAAAGATTCGGGTTGTTTAGGGGGACCCAGTTTTAACCCTGTGTTCTTGATCAGGTGTCGTGGCATATTGAAATGAAAAAAAAATGTGTCTACATTGAAATTTAAATACTTTTTTATACAATTTGAATTATTACCCGAACCATTGTTTTGCCCACCATAAACCACCTTTTTGATTTTTCCTCTTTCCACCTTTTTGTTTGGGATTTTTACGTACGCAACAACGTCCTTTGGCCATACTTAAAACAGAGTAGTCATGACTATGTTCATACTTCATATTTTAAACGTGCTTGTGTACCAAAACCAACACTCATCTGATTTCTAAATTCCCCGATACAAATTAGCTGTTGTGCAACGGTGGTGTCGTTGGCAAAATCAATTTTTACACCCAAATTTCCACTTGTTGAATTGGGTAAAACTTGTGAAAAACCATCGCGATTCGGTGATAAATCTGTAACGATCATACCGTAATCGGATACATACTCACTATATGTATACGGCATTTCACTATGGCGTCGATCCAATGATTGACGTAAATTAATGTAGGCCTCTGCCGAATCAGTAATTACTGGGGGTATTTCAGCTTCATTGATGCTTACGGCAAAACGTGTGATATCGGGGAAAGCTACAGAATAGGGTGACAATATATATGAGCCGTTATAACAAAAATTGTATCACAAACGCGTTACAAGACGTGTAGGTCGTGCACCATTGAAAATATCTTTGTGTTGAATGTGTCGGCTATTAGCGGGTACGGGTATTGCAACATAACGATGTGTAATTTTATAATACCGACATTCTTCACCTTTTTGAATCATCAAATCATTAATTGCTGCCGATAATTGTGCATTGGGTTTTAAAATTGGCATGGTTAATTTTAAATCACCCATTCTTAAATCTACCACAGCACATTCTGCAGCCGTACCGTACAGGACTTTTGTTTTCTCCAATCTTGTTAAAACCACTTTGATATCAAACGATGTGGGTACATAACGTTTAACACGACCCAACAAATCGAGTTTATCAATACATCGATAAACTACGGCTTGATTTATTTTAAGATATCTTTGTATTGCACCAATATTTGTATTGCCGGTAGCATTTGTATTATGATGTAAATTTGTGATTACATCCATCCGACCGGGTGTGTCGCGAATCATTAAATTAATATCTCTATCATCGTTGTATTCGGAAGGAACGGTTGTTAGAAAATCATGAGTAAACTCAAGTTCATTTTCCTTACTCGATTGTGGTGTAATTAATTGATTATTTAAATACACAGCTTTGGTTTTCCAACCGTAACGTAACAGTGCCATGTTAACACATACATTTCGATCGGCAGCAGCTGCAGCGCCACCATCTGTTACAGCAACACGTAATTTTGCCGATAGTTTAGCATCAACCATATCTATTACACCATAATCTTGCCGATTATGCATAAATGTATAGATTTCGGCATTTTCGGTAGTAGGATTGGGCAGTAATTCGAGAGTACGTGTTTCGGCAAATGTATCATTATGTGGGAATGTATCAAATAATGTCATGGGTCCCACAAAACCACTATCATGTTCTTCAATAGGTTCGGCCTCCTCTTGTCTTTTACGTTTCATCTTGACGATGTTCAACGAACTAATGAAACTATTTTAAAAAACAGTTCCCTTTTAAAAAACACACACACACGTATATTTTTTTAATTTAATAATTTATTAATAAAAGGAAATTATTTTATATACACATTAATAATAATCATCGTCATAATATCTTTGCGGTCGTCTGCGGCGGCATCGTGGTGGCGGTCCTTGCATCCATGAAGGTGCTGGTCTATTACCCCCTTGATTTACACTTTGTACAGGTTTTTGTGCAGGTTTTTTACCAAAAATACTACCTACAACACTTGTACCTGTATTTAATAACATGGGTAATGCCATCCCCAATGCTATACCCGCAGCGGGGCCAAAACCACCTATTTGTTTTTTCCCTTTTTTCGACTTTTTCCGTTTATTAGCTATTCTTCGTTTACTACCCATAGATTAATTTTAAAATTTCCGGTGATATTGTTGTGGCAGGAACACCACCTCTTGCTTGCTGTTTAGGAGCTCTTGGTTGTATTTTACCCACCCTTTGTATTTTTGGGTTTGGGGCGTAACAGGGATTTAATTGTGGCGGTAGACAAATTTTACCGGCAGCACGTTCTTCAACGGTCGATGCTTTACCTGATAACGTATACAAACTTGTACCCTTATAACGCGTACCACCACCTTTTAACAGCTTTACGTAGTCTGCTCGCTGCATCGTGAATGATTACCCCTTTTTTATATTTCATCATATATATTCAAAACAATGGATAATTTTGACCGGTTTATTACACCCGCAGCCAATGCAAAACTATCTTGATCATACCCCGGTGTGCGTTCAAAAATAAATTTCACGTTCTCGTCTAAATCGCTCACATTTCGTACGGTTAATAAACAATTTGGTAGTGGTGCTTTAACCGTTGAATTCGATACAGGAATTATTATACGATTATTAGACACCTGTTCAAATCGTTCAAATAATAAATACCGTTTTAGGGTATAATAATGTCGAACTGTTTTTCCACGTACTGTGCCGTAATCTTTGCCATCGTAAAAATAACCACCACCTGTTGCACGACTTTTACGACCTGTTAGTCTGTTAGTAACATCCCATTTTCGTGCAACAGATAATTTATAACCCCCCAATAAACCCATAACATGTGCAACAGTGTAATGCATTAATTTATGCGATAGTTGTGCTTTAACTTCCGAGCTGTATTCATATTTTACAGATACAAGTTCTTTAGGGCGATCGGCTTTTACTTCTAAATCGATTTTTAACATTTTTTCTTATTCAACAACACACTCGATATTCACGGTGCCACTGCTAAATGGTATTAGCGTATGCGTTGTATCGTAGATTGTAACTTTAAATTGATCAATTTTACTTTTAATTAACCTACGTCGTGTACTCGGTGGTGTATATACACACAATGCACCACTACCCCGATCGCTACCGTTTAAGGGTACAATGGCTAACAAAGGTGCATATGTATCGCCAACAACTGACATTTCCAATTGTTCGCAATATACAAACATTTTATCAATACCATTGGAAATATCAGGAAGGGCTTTACCCATGAATGAACAAGCAAATTTATTATCGCCACTCGCATTTGTTTTATTCATGAAACGGTACCAATCATGGGGTGGTTGTATATGATTTGCAAAATAAAAAGATCCTCTTTCCCATTCCAATTTTGTTTCGGCGACATCTGGGTGAACCCTTATTTCCCGCAAACCTAGCATATATTCCAAAGATTCGGTAAATACCATTTTGAATTCGTCACCCTCTGCGGTATTTTGGGAAAAAACTTCGAATACTTGATGGGGGGGTTTTGTTGAAACTCTTTTTATATGTACGTCAGAATGCCAATATTCACGTTCGATATTGTACGTTACACCGACTCGCCCGTTATTTAAAACTGTAAATTTCACATCATATTCGCCGACAAATGTGTTTAAAGTATCAAGAAGTTTCTGTAACGTATAGGCACCCGGTGGTAAATACATCATGTCGGTCTTAAATTTAATCTCAATACCTGAATCAGACGTTGTGGGAAAATGCATAAAGAGTTGTACACCACATTGCTCGTTTTGAACATTTTCAATAGTTAAAGGATATGAGAAATTTAAAACCCTCATAAATAGCTCTTTATTTTCTGCATCTAATAATGTAGGTAACGGCATCACAAACTCGTTGGTGTAATTCGTACCACCAACGTCGTTTCGTGCATTACTAACAATTTGAATATTCATATCGGTTGCAATTCACGACGATAGAATATTCCTGTGATTTCCTCACCCTGCAGATCTTCAAGCGAATATGTGACAGGGTCGGATATGTACACCTTTTTAATACGGAAGGTTTCTTTCACCCACCGTCTTAAACTTGATTTTTCAAAAACATTATTCTTAATTCGTGCAATACGTACATGTTGACCTTGCTTTAATAGTTGTACCGGTGTTGGGTTACCATTTAATATTGCTTTCAATCTTCGAAATGTGTCGGGTTGTTTACCCCGTTTGTATACGTCAAAGGGTGTTAAATTATATATCCCTCTGTGTGGCGATTCATTATAACGCTCAATAATCAATGTTAAATTTTCTATATATCGATGACCTTGATCTAACCCCGTCATTGAGCGTGTGATACTTTGTTTAAGGGTTTCAATAAATCGTTCGGCATGTACCGCCTTTGTTTCCCGATTGTAAGTGTGAAAAAGTGTAAAACCATACTTTTTACACAAATCCCTTTTTATCAACGTAAATTCCGTACCCTCATCACTTTGAATTTTTAACGGAATTTCCTTTTCTTTTATCAGTATATCTTCAAATTTATTCGCCACATTTCTAGCCGTTTTCGTTTTTAACGCGCGTACAAAGGCATAACGGGAATAAATGTCAACACACACAAGTAAATAGCGATATTGGTTATTAAATCTTGATAAGTTATTCAAATCTGCTAGATCAATACTCCACTGTGCATTACGACTATATACATTAATAGGTAAACGTTTATATTTTGTAAATTTTCTACTGTGTAACGTATATGCTTCTTTTTGTTTTTTATTTAATCTCTCGTGTTTTAACAAACGCGACGTTTTTTTAATCAGTTCAGCATTCTTATTTGCTCGTGTCTTTCCCATATTTGTTTACTAAATAAGAAATTAATATAACAAATGTTTGTCAATCATTTCAGTATACATATCTTCTATGATATTTACATTATCGCCTTTTTTGACCATGTCCAGATAGTCGTACTCATATTCCCATTCATTTCGCGTGCATATAGAAATACAGCTTCTTTGCAGGATTTAATTTTTTCACGATGCATCACTGCTATAATAAGTGATACGGCTTTACGATACTAAAAGGGAAAATTAATGAAAAATATCTGTAAAACTATCCATAGACATACCCGCCGTTTCGCGCATTACATTTAAACGATTTACGGTCTGTAATATATTTTGTTTCAGATCGTTATCTAATAGTATACTGAATTCACCTTTTGGGTTGTAAAATTCTAATGCTTTTTCATAAGAAATATTTTCTTTCAGGATTTTTATCAACACCCCTTTTACAACACGACTTACACGAGTTTGAAAATTTTGCGAACTACCATATAGTTTTATATCAGCATACCAATTACCAAATTTTATTACCTCATCATCGGTGGGTTCGATAGTACGTCTTTTCTTCGTCAGTTGTTTACCCAGTCCACTTTTCACCAGTTTTCTTTTCACGGTCTTTCCCGTTGCGGGTTTGGGTAATGCGGGTGACATCATTGACTGATCATCGACATCTTGCTCATGCTCAACAGCGATTAGAAACTCGTTGATTTTCTTGGCTACATGGACCCAACTTTCATTTTTTGAAAAGTAACATTTTGCCCACTGCTCCACCCATTCTACCTCGTCCTGATCATCATCAAACAACGGTTGCTCTGTAGGGACGTCGTCTTCCGTGCCATCGGGAACATCCGCCACCAAAATATCTGTCGGTTTAGTAGCTTGTAGACGTACTAGCGTCAAACCACGGTACTCGCTATCTTTCAAAACGATACGAATTAAATTTTTCTGATAATCTTCGTATTCGGAAATAATGATGTAGTGGCTACCACCTTTCTTGCATGTCTTGAGACTTTCATGAACTGTACGAAGCTCGTCGACCGTCAAAGCAAATTTCATTTTGTATAAATTTTTATCACCCGATTGCGTAGGTGATGACGAAGCGATGCAACATTTTTCATTCCATCGTTCATACCACAACATTTTTTTTGTTTTATTTTGATACGCACCTAATTCTGTAACATGTGAAGCATTTCGCTTCTCATACATCTCAACGACCGATATCTCATGTTGTGGTTGTGCCATCTTTACAAATCTGTAACTTACAAGTCTTACAACAGCGTTTTATAGACTACATAACCAAGTCCGACAGTCAATGCTGTAATTATCAAAAATTCTTTTGCAATTACACCCCTAATATGGTCACATATCTTATGGTAGATATTCGTTATTTTATCGAGGAAAAAACATTTATATTCAGAACATGAAAATATGTACGACCATATAGGGTCACAAGTATATAACCTGTAACTAACAATCGAAAATAACCAGAAATACCGGTAAAAGAATCGTCAGCCACTAAAACAATCATTAAATCACAACATTCCTCATTCTCATCACAATATTTACGCAAAATCTTTCTAATAGGGTCTGCATATACTTCTAGATAATATGTCATTTCCTCATTAAATTTTTCTCGCACATATTCACTTTTACATTCTACCAAACCATACCAAGACGTTGTTGTATAAGTAACCATTGTTTTCAAAAACAAAATTATAACAAACACACACCACACATGTTTTACGACTAATGGGAACTATACTTTTACGTACAATCTATTTAAATGCGCATATATGATAAGGGGTAATACACTATCGTCAATAATCATATTGTCAGCTAAAAACCGTTTTCGAATATTGTTGATATTTTTAGGATAACACGATCCATACACCCATTGTATATAAAACACAAATTGTACAATTCTATTCATTTGGCAGCTACCCCCTAACCGAAGCAACGTCGTGCCGTTGACTGTATAGTGTTCAGTTACTTCTTCATCATGTCGCTGTAAGATAAGTACCATACTATAATATGACTCTGTTCGCCGCGTAATATCAGCTGTTAACACATATGTAATAGGGTATAAAATACCATCTTGTAAAAATGTAAATTTATATCGTAATAACATGTATTTTTTCTTTTTTTGTTTTTCAAAAAATAGCTTATTTCGGAACGACGGATATTTGAATCCGGACATTACGAGCATTGGGTATAAATCTATAAATCCGTTGGTTGGTCTGCTGTATCTTCATAAATTGACACCTTTTCGTTTGCTGCAAATTGTTTCATAACATCATATAATCGTTGGGTAATATAGATAGAGTCCGGTAGATACGATTGCATTATATGTTCCCTCAATTTTCCACCATTTAACCCTCTTGCCATTCCATCTCTAATCAAACCAAAAAGTCTTCGTAAAGTATCTATACGACTTTTTGAATATAGTACATAACCACCGTTTAGACACTGTGTTTGAACAACTCTTTCGGGTAATATTGAAAACTTGCTACGGATATAACCCTCAGGATAACCAAGATAAAGTATATATTCACCTGCACCAACGCTAACACAATCGTAATGATAATTTACATCTGTAAGTACACCGTCATACAAAACACAGGAAAACATATGCATATCATTCAAATAACGTTTATCATTCATCATCATAACCCCAGTCGTATTGTTTTTTATATTTTAAATTGGTTAAATTTTGACTATAATTATACATTGAATAGGGTATTGAATTAAGTGCATACCAGATTAAATCGTCGTTGAACCATATACCGTAATATTTAATCAAATAATAACCAAGCTCTGTTTGACAATAATCGATCGTATTTTTAAAATGTAAAAATGTATAATTACACTGTACAAAAAACTCCTCCAACATACGGTTTAATAAACCATTATCGTCACCAGCACAACTCCAACCAATAACATTGATAGTAAATTTTGCAGAATTTAATTATTTAATTACCACACGACGTAGATAACGACCGCCTGTATAATAATCCACTTCGAAACGTACATAATCGGTTGTACATTCTAATAATTTTAAAAAACTTAAGTTTATAAAATAATACTCGTCATTGCACAAAAGACGTCGTCGTCGCATTGTGTTGTTAAAAAAATCTAAAATCAAATCTTCAAACCTTATTATATGCAAAAACACAACAACCATATAAGTACATGCTATTTTACAAAAACAATCATTCGTTTACAAAAGCTATTATAAGATGGTGAACTACAAACACAGGTCACGACGTTATCAAAATGGTGGGAATTTTAAGGGTATTAAATATCAACGTGGGAAGCCAAAAAAGCAAGACGGTGGTTTTCTAAGCAGTTTATTTGGTGGGGGGAGAAAATCAAAATCACAACCTATAAATCTAAATGTAAATCAAAGGCAGGGCGTTATCACCCTTATCAACGCTATCAACACTATCCCCCACCACACCGTTACTACCCAAACTACTACCCACAACCCAAACGACGTTCAACTAGAGGTAGGACAAAGTAGGAGTTAAAAAACTGAACTCTACAAAGAAAAGATAGACTAAAAAATCACTTTTATTATGTAGAAAACGATGAAAAACATAAAAAACAACAAGGTGGTAATCTTTGGATGTTATTTTTGTAAATACGTATTCATATGAATAAAAACTATTAACAAAACAAAATGTTTTCACATGTTGATGTGTGTCTACATACATAGCATAATTTCTCCTTTTCTAATATATATTTTAGTACAGGTTTGAAATGACATATCCGCGGTGGATATAGTGTTAAAGGTCTTTGTTTATTTACAATCCATGTATGTATGTATGTTAGAGAGTCCATTTCGTGAAAGCAAACACCACAACCACCACCAACTTTTGGACAGCTATAAACACCATAACGATAGATACACTCTCTACCACACAGACACTTTATCCTGTTGCGTTTGGCAATAATTTCAACAACCGATTCCTCAACATCACAACAATCTGCCCCACATACATAAAATAGTTGTAATTCATTTGTGGCAAAACAACCACGCATGTACGACGGTGTCGA